TTGTGGATTATTGTTGCATGCTGGGATTTGCAAATTATCCAGGGCAAAAGAAATGCCAGAGCCTTTCTCCACAGTTAATAAAGCTCCAGATTGATGGGAGAGGTGGATTACTGTCATCAAACAGGCTCAAGGTGAATCAAACTGTACATCACTGAAGCTATGAGGGCCTTTTTGGTTTGATTTTTGGGGATTGATTCAATTATTGTCTCAAAATGATTCAAAAAGTGTATTGGTGTTATGCACTACTGATTAATTTGGCCTAAGAAAGAGGTTTTATTGGAAAATACTCCCTTTTTTCCACAAAACACTATTTGCATCATGAATGCTTTGAAATGTTTATTTTGCAATCACATGCTAACAGTTGAACTAATAATTTTTGGGTGTTTAATACATTGATATTAGCCTTTTGAGTAGGCACAGCATTTCACTTGCACAGAATGTTATCAGTATTATAATTTTCACAGTCAGTGTGGATAAATAATATGGGTGCAGACAGTGCTTTGCAATAAATATTTTTTATCACAGTGACCCTTTTCAGTTATATAAGACTGTGGAAAGTGAATCAGATTGCAGATTTAGGGGCACAGTCTACACAATCTAGTCTAGTCATGTTCAGTCAATTAAATATAAATAGCCATTCGTTGCTGGTAACTTTTCACTAGCTGATTTAGTCATGTGATGCTTGAGCTCTTTTGTCAGCCCTATGTACACCTGGATTTTTCATCCACATCTAGATTTAATATAACCAAGTGTCTGCATCCTTCATATGACTCTTAATGGCTGTACAGTGTTGTTATAATTGGTCTTAAGAAATTGACACTTATTATTGTCTGCGAACGCCAAACACCTCTGAGATACACGCTTGTAATGAAACTCACATGTCTGCCTCTTTCCCACACACAACCGCAAAGGCCACTGTTTTCAATTTAGAAGCAGTATCCACTGTCAAGGATCTTCAGTAGTTTTTATTAAATTGACTTTCTTTTCAAGTCCCTCTCTAACCCATGTAATAGAATCAAACACGGTAACAATGGTAGAGGATGGGTGCACACAGCCAGAGCCGATGTGTCACTCCTACTCACAATCACATCACCTTGAAGACTGGAGCTTCATTGGCCAAACACACATTGACATGCAAATTCCGAAATTGTGAATATATATATAAACATGATCTTATGAAAAACACCAATAATGTTTTCTCCCTAAATAGAGATTCTGTTATGTTCATCAGTTATTTTGGCCCTAAGAAATAGTATTATGTAGTGCTCTAATTCATTCTCGGTTTTCTCAAGAACTGAATTGTGTACGATGACGAAGCAACTTAAGCTATAAGTCCTCAAAGATGCATGGTAACAATATCAAGGACTGCCATGTGTATGTTTTTTTTTTTTTACCATAAACAGTACATCATGCTAAATACAAAGATCAAGCTTTAACTCTTCCCTGTCTCGTCTTGTCCTGGTAACTTATTATACTATCCCAAGCATACTACGTATATGTGGCAGGCTAGCTCAGTAGGTCATGATAACACATTTTGAAGTAAATATAGATGATAAATGATAAAATTTAAACCAAACCATAAAGCAGAATTATCCCCCAAAGTATTCTAAATGTATAATATTGTTAGATATTGTTGAGCTGGAATAAACAAATAAATAAAAGAATATTACACTTTAAAAATTAGATTTTGGCATTTTATCCATAATATATATTTAATACTACTACTACTACTACTACTACTAATACTGCTACTACTAATGCTACTACTACTGCTACTACTACTATTATTATTATTATTAATAATAATAAATAATAATAATAATAATTAATTATAATAATTATTATTATTATTATATAATTCAGGCATCTATAGCTCAGATCATATCATATTGCAGAAAACAATAAAAATGACAAAAAAAATCCCCACTACTACAAAGAAAAAATACTCATGATAAATACTGACCCCCCAAAAATGTTGTTCTATATGTATATTGAACGGTAAGTCAATATAGTATTTATCCTAACAAGCCTATAGCTCAGTCTATTTTATGTAGCTTGTATTAAGTGAATTTCCTGTAAAGGTGAATAGAGGAAATGCTTCTGGAGAACACTGAGGTCTTTGACATGGAATTTGTTCATTTTGTGTATATGCAAATTAAAAATTGGAACTGAAAAGCTCTTTAATTGACAGGATGTGAGATTGTAGAGCGATCAGTGTAGTTTGTGCCTGAATGGAACAAAAACCCAATGATAACTGTAATTATCATTAGACTCTGTCACAAACTGAATATAGTCATCTTCTTGTGTGTGCCCTCCTCCGTTCGTCTCAATCAGATTTTGTACATTTGGCTTTAAAGTTGTTTTCATCAAAGAACATCACATCAGTTCTGTCCTTTTGTGTCTCACAGAGAGATATGCGTCTAATTTGGTCATGCCTCTTCTCTTTGAAGTAAATGAAGCCGCTTTTGCAAAGGGCAAATGACAATGACACAAACCGTCACTATAATGTGCAAATAATCACCTCCAATAATTGTGTTTTCAGCATTACTTTTATACTCTGATTTGGGGTATGGCTGACTGTACATATAAACTACATTTCAACAAAGACATTGGATTTGTTCAGTTCCAGTAATAATATAGATTTCGTGGAAGCACTGCATGGATATTAAACTGAATATGCTCTATGAGGAGGAGGAGCAGAGGGCATCTGTAAAGCATTCCTTTTGTTGTGTAAAATCAATGTCCTGCTTCACGCTGTTGCCTGACGCAGAAGACCTGATACACAATTGATTTGTATGTGCACTGTGAAATGATTGACGCAACCAGGTGCATCTGCGTACATGCCATATTTTTTATGATTTTCTAACTAGTGGTTATGCAGACTTGGATTAAAACTCATCTTGTTGACGTCCCTATGGTGCTATCCATCTGCTGTATCCACACTACTCTTCCTTCATAAATGTGTGAACAACAGGCTCTTAGGCCAAGTGCACAGTGTAGCAATGCAGATTCTACTCTAATTAAATCATATGTCACAGATGGAGAGTGTTATTAACCCTTGGTCAAAACTGGTTTAAATTGAAAATCATTGACAGATGGATACATGTACTTCCATCTTTTTACCTCCACCTCAAAGTACACCCTTTCTAATTAACTAAGAAATTTTTTGTTTTTATAAATTATTACATAATCATGTTGAAGCATTTAAGACTAGTTGACCTCGTGTGGACTTTTTAGTCTTTATTAACCGGGTAGTTTTAATTAAGTTATTCTTTAATCCCATGCCAATACTAGTTCGATACTGTGTGATTAAAAACAAATCTGATGCCTTTGAGGAAATGCTAAGCTCCAGAGCACATGGCTAATTATGCAAAATAAATAAAGTCTGTGTTAGAACTGTTGACTGTCAAACTGAGCTGTTTATTTTGCCAATGTTCTGCTTCCATTGGAAAGGCTAAATGAAGACATCAAAGAGGTATCTCAAATATTACCGCTGTGATTAATGATGTTTTTAGTATCTGCAAATTCTCCACTGACAATGTTAACTGCCCTGGGTGTTAGTGTGTTAGTGTGTTAGCATGTTGGCAGTAGCATTAGTCATGATACAGTAAACCGCTAGGGCTCACAACAACATCTTTTAAAATAACTCTCTATTATTAGTTAATGAATCAGTACTTAACCTAACTATACCTACAAAATGTGTCTGTATTTGAACAACCATAAAAATGTGTCAAACGGTAAATATGAAAGAGATATTTTTGTGCACATGTATGTCAATGCCTATATAGTTAATTTCCTGATTTCATATGTTTTTAGATGTATGCCTACCAGAAATGATCTTTTAGCATCTTTGTTAACACTTACTTGTGACAGTTTTGTTCTACTTTTACACTCTCTACACTCCTGCCATGTTCATTTCATGTATTACTTATAATGGGTAAGGTTTAATTTGCTCCTTTTCATCCCTAGAGACTAATGACACAATTATTAGATACTAAGCCAAACGTTTAATTGGTCAATTTCCATTTAAATAGACGAGGCCCGTTTAATCTTGTGAGTTTGACTGTTGTAGGGAGTTCATGTCGGTTACTATAGGAAACGTTGGCCTTGGCTTTGTGCTGCTCATCCACGGTCTCGTATTCTCACTGGAGTGGCTTATGTAAGTCTGTTAGCGCCTGTGCAGAATTTGTAGATGTGTAATTTTACCTGCACACTCTCCGCTCCTCTGCCCTCTGCACCTGTACGCTTCACTGAGCTATGTGAACCTTTTATCAGCTTTTAGTTCCCACTGGATGCGCTAATTAATGTGGGAATCTGAGCACATGAAAAAGACCTTTTTCCCACGGGGGGAACTTAGATTTTAATTAGCAAAGGTAATGACCCAGCGAGACGTGAATGTGACGAGCGTAACTACAAAAAGATTATCACAGAATTACTACAGATTTAGAAGTGTCACTGATCTATATACCGTCCATTTTAGGCCACTTTAACTTTAAATGATGCAGAACAAGACACTTGACCCTGGCTATCCATTAAGTAACAACTGTATTAAAATATGATTTGTTATGATCTTATTATTTTAGTACTGCAGTCAGTGTCTACTTTTCCTGGCCTGTGTTACTGAAGAGACTGCCTTAGGTTACCACCTTTTCTAAGCTCATAATACCAATACCCGGTGTGTTCTTTTTGCATAGAAAAGTGAGCACTCAGCGTTTGAATTTGGCCTGGAGCAAGCACAACAGTAAAGTGACTGAAGGAAGCCAGACTTTCTCTGCTCAGGAGTGAAGAATTGAAAACTTAGTTACAGTGAAAAACTGTTAGGTGGTAGAAATGGTAGCTTTAGGCAGTATATGATAGATGAACGCGCCACCAACCTGAACCAAAATCGTTTTTGTGACAGAAGAATCCCTCAGTGGCAATAAAGCAGTTGATAATTACAAACCTGAGTCTAGGAGTGTATATTATAATGCTCAATATTCATTTCTTCTGTTTTCTCTTAGATAGTGTCAGACTGGTCTTGTGCAGAAGTAGTTCTAGCAAAACAAAGAAATGGGACTTCAACCAATTGAACCGCATAAGCCCTTGGTAAGTACTCCAGTCTGTGCACCTACATTCTAACTCCACAATTAGAAACAACCTTTTAATACTAAATATACTGTGTGAGTGTTTTTATCAACATATTTATTCGAGCCCGACCGATATATCGGTTGGCCGATATTATCAGCCGATATGGGCACGTGGAAACATATCAGCGATCGGCCAATATGTTTGCGGATATGGGCCGATATTTCACGTGGACATGTTATATACCTCGTTATAAAGCTTAGACTCTCTACATTATGTTCATTTAATCCAATTTGCAGACAGAAAAATGTCCTAATATATGACTCCGCATCAGTATTTATCTGCGGAGTCATTTGTCTGTGTCTGTGGCCGTACTGTCCCTGAACACACCCCCAGAGCCACATCACTCACGTGCGCTTGTTTACACCCCCAGCCACAGATCCATGTGCGCAACACTTAGATAATTTTCTTTTTATGAACAATCGGTTTGAGTCTGGATTAAAAGGACATTTATTAGTGCAGACTTGTGAAGAGGAGCCTGTGTGAGCGGTGAGTGTTGGAAATATGTTGGCTTTGAAGCTAGTTTTCTTCATTTGTTATTGGTTAGTGATTAGCTGCTTGGCCGTATGTATGTTACTGGACCTGCATTGATATGTAAATGAGCTGTGAATAGAGGTGTGAATTATGACATTTATGCACATAATTAATTACCGTGGCGCCCACACATTTACGGCTAAAGGCTAATAGTGGTAGTTTACTTTCTTTACTTGCTAGTAGTGATGGGTCGGTCAGGAACGAAACGGCTCTTAGAGCCGGCTCTTTGAAGGGAACAACGGGAGCCTGCTCCTTATTGGGAGCCATGTTTTCTCTTTCTCTCACTTTTTTTCTCTTCACGCCGCATCCAGACTCAAAACTTTCAGAAATATGCGTGTGCATAGGATAGAAAAAACATGCATATTTGGCTGTAGTTCAGCATAAAATAAATAAACCAGGACTAATCTTGGGCTCAAGAGAGGGAGAGAGATAGAGACCGAGTCCCAACACTCAGTCCTGGTTCAGTTCTGGGTTAGTACTGTTTTACACATGGTTTAGATCTGTTTTAGTCCTGGTTTAGACCTGGTTTAGCCCTGCTTGCAACAAAACAATCTGAAGAGCTGCTTGGGAGCTGAAAGAGCCAGCTGCTTTTAGTGAGCCGAGCCAAAAGAACCAGTTGTCTAAAAAGAACTGGAATACCCATCACTAGTAGCTAGAATGTGATGCAAAAATGCCATTAGGCTGACCGACTGTCTGTAAATATGACGCTAAGAGTCAGAATAACAATAAATGTTGCCTAAATAAACCCAATTTAAAATCCACTAGAGCCGAACCTAAGTTTTTTAAACAATTCAAGATTTACAGTGAATTTTTACATCACTAAATATATCGGCGAGTATATCGGTCAGGCCCTAATATTTAGTTTCATTTTAATGTCTGAAGCGTCACAACAGCAATGCAAATGAACAAAAGAAAAGCAATGTTTCCATTTCTCTTTCCAGACATTGATTCTGTCAGCTGTTCGCTATTCTGTAATTTATCACTATCAGGAGCAAAGGGTTATTGATTTAAGACCACTCATTAGGCCATTTTGTCTGAACTATATAATCAGTTTGAATTCCCATTTTACATCATTTGAGCTCAACACAGCTCCAGAAAGCCTTATAAATTATACAGTTGAGCTCGAAACTACCAAACTTGCCTTTTAACATGTAATGTGTAATAATATACAAGTGCATTTCCATGTTATTACCTCCGCCAAGGAGGTTATGTTTTTGCCAGGCGTTTGTCTGTTTGTTTGTTTGTTTGTTTGCTTGTCTGTTAGCAACATAACTCAAAAAGTTATGGACCGATTTTGATGACATTTTCAGGATTTGTTGGAAATGTGAAAAGGAAGAACTGATTTCATTTTGGGGGTGATCCGGAAGAAATCCTGGATTCTGGATCACTTTGAAATTTTAGTTAACATTGTGGTAAATGGGGCCAAAAATTTTGTTTCTCAATATCTCGGTTAATTATTGACCAAACCCCATGAAATTTGACTCAGGGATGGACAATGGGATCCTCTTTCATATTCCAAAGGCTGATCCGGATCTGATCCAGAAGACTGATTTTATCGCAATTTATATAAAAAATGGGGGTAGTCCTTGGTGGAGGTCTGAGTGCTTTTCTAGTTTGTACTGCGGTTTTGTGAGTTAATGATAGGCCTGTCACGTTAAACACATTATAGATAAAACAATTAAACAATTATCTTTGGGGTTCAGTATTTATCATGGTACTTTTTCTTTGTACTGGGGTGAACTTTTTGGTTATTTTTCTGTTCTAAAATGTGATTTGAGATTTATGACTCTTTATGGATACAAACTAACTAGGTGAGTGTTGCATTATGTTATGTATTTATTTCAGCTTATGTTTTTTTTTTTTTTACAATACTGTCCATTTGGAAAACTTTTTGGGGAATAATTCTGCTTTATGGTTTGATTTCAATGCTCTTGTTTATCATCTACATTTACTTCAGCAATATATATTCTTTCTTTTTTTCTTTTATCTGTTTTCAACTGTTGTGGTCAATATTGCATGTAATTTGTTTAGTCCTTAAGGTTGTAAGTTTACACATAAGATGAAAGCTGTTGCATAAAATCATTAGCAGTCTTCATTGCACTTGTAGACATACTGCTCTAACCTACCAGGGGCAACTGATGTAACATTTTTATACTTTTAAGTTTGTGCTGTAATCCATTTCAAGTTGCCTTCGCAATAACCCTTTTAAAAGAATTGTTTTAATTGGTATCATTGTGGCTATTTCTTTATGTTCAGGTATCATGGGGTTTGAAGATCAAGACAAAGACAAAAGTGGTGCCCCCATGTTTGGGTATGTTCAGACCCACCATGGGGCATTGTTGTCATCAGTGCACTCCAGAGAGCCTTGTAAGTCAGCTCTGAACATTCTTTTAATTTCTGTATCTTTTGTACTGCAATTATTCATTATTGGTTTTCTGTTTTGTTTTCAGCGCAACAAATTTGAACAGAATTCTCTGGGTGGTTTCTGCAACATTTTGAATATCAAAGAGAAGCACACCAGGTAGTATGCTGCTATCTACGCTATACTATACTGCGCAGGCTCCAGGATTGATCAAATTTTAATGAAATCCATATCCAGTTGTTTCAAATTGCCAATAATGGATTCTGCCTGCCAATTCTCTGTCAGTGAAATTATGTGCTCTGGAGCAGAGATCACACTTTTGGAGGAATACAATTGTTTTATGATTTGTGTTAAATGGCATGGAATGTCTTGTTTAAATTCAGACAATTAATGATAAAAGCCATTTTTAATAAGTGAACCAAGAGTGAGACAGTGTGCATTAGGGGAGGCAACAAACTATGAAGAAGAAGCTATGGGGGTTCTTCAATGGGGGTGCATGCTTATTGCTTAATATAAATTTTGACCTTTTTTTTAGGGATGCGAGCACACCCCATACCCTACCATGTTTGCTTTGCTGTTTTAAAGAAGTTTAAATGTAGTCAGCCCCTGTAGTGTAGTGTGTTTCAGAGTCCTGCACAGGTCCATTTTCGGACCTGCACCCACCCGCACCTACGCATTACAGCACCGCACCCGCCCGTTTACCCGTGATTATGTCAAAGTTAAACCCACAGCCGTTACCCGCCCGTGGTAAATCATCCATCCATCAGAATAGGGATTGAAAAGTTACGATTTAAAGAATTACAATCACAAAATGAAATGAAACGGTTATGCTTTCTTCAATACGAATAAGAATTCACAGATGCGGCTCGACTGTCATCACTCCACAGGCTTTATTTACTGAGCAGAAGAAACACTGATCGAGATGCTGGACTTTTGCACCGCACACACCACAGACTGAACCAGGACTAAACCTGGACTAACCCAGGACTAACTGAGGGCTGTTTCCAGGACTGTGCCAGGACTAAACCAGGACTAAACCAGGACTAAACCAGGACTAAACCAGGACTAAACCAGGACTGAACCAGAACTCACTCTTGGGACAGGTCCAGAGATGCGCCCGCATAGTCTGTCGAGTGAATGCAGGCGAAAGGACCGTCGCAGACCTACGCGCCACACTGAAGTAAATGCTGCGCTTTGCGAGCACCCTGCTCCAGGGGCTCTCTCTATCTTAAGTCCAAGATTAGTCCTGGTGTAGCCCTGGTTTAGTCCTGGTTTAGCATTGACCCACCCGTGTCTAATTACTACCCACCTGTAAAATTCCAGAATGTTAAAAAATACCCATTTCAGCAACTATTTGCCCGTACTCGTCATGTACCTGCAGGACCTGTAGGTGCAGGACTCTGGTGCAGCCTCATTTTGAACACTCAAAAATATGTTTAGGCAAGATTGAATGTCCTATAAAAAAAATGGGGCAAAAATGTTTGAGGGAGCTATGGGGGAATGGGCGTATTGCCTATTCCAAGAGAGGCTAGTGTCCCCTCAAGCCTTCCTTAGTACTGCCCCTGGTGCTCTCGAGTTGTCTTAAAAACTTTTTCAACCAAGTCCCTCTTTTCCAGCGTACCTGTCAATCAATCAAGTAATCAAATATTACACCCCCAAAATGTATAGTTACATTTTCAAATAATTTCTCCTGAATATATTTTTAAGACAGTGGTATTTGTATGTCTCAGTATAATCTGTCTATAAACTCTCAAAATGGTCGCAATCGTATGATATAAGACGAAAGCTGAAACACCGACTGTACTTTGCAAACTCGTCATCTGTATCTCTGTCCACAGGTATCAAGGCTGGCTCGTCCGAAGGATGTGCTGTGCTCTGTTTGTGAGTGGGTGCAAAGCTTTCACAAGTCCCGTTACTGACCGGGCGGAACGAGTCTATCAGAGCAAGAGGTACCCCAGGCAAATAAACAAAGATGCTAAGTATAAAATGGATAGATGTCGTGTCAATAAAATAAGTCTCTGAAAATTATTGTGGACCATTAAAATATTCCCAGTTTTATGGCGTGGTAAAAACATAGCAGTAATTACAAAAACATAATCTTAAAAATTTGACAGTTATGGTCACTCAAATAGCTTTTCTGGGATTATTTAGTATATTTATGGTTTTTAATAATGCCTGATTTGTAACTGATTGTCACTTATTAATTCTGATCAGTTTTTTATTTGTCTTTTTGCATGTTTTTTTCTATGGCGTCTTGACATTGTTTAGACATAAGTGCTATAAAATTTAAGATTATTATTGATTACACAAAGTTTAGTCAGGGTTGCACTAGACATGTTTTTGAAAATTTTAAACCTGAAAACATACACCTATCACTACAGTTTTCATCTGTTGTTTTTCCTTCCTTTGTTATGTAGCCCCTTACTTAAAGGTTTTGTATTACACAAAATTGATTGTGAGCTTTATGCCATGTTGTAATGTTACTTCTTCAAAAACATTCCTGGAGTTGTGTTTGTTTCATTCACACATGCTTGAGTAACCCTTTATTAAGCTAAAAATGCTCTGTTTCACTTTGGGATATCATGTAGTGATGGTTTTCATGTTAACAGCTGCCTTTTATCAGTTCAGTTCAATTGGCAATTCCAGGGTCCAAATTATCCAAATGATTCTAGTGATGGTGTATGGAGTTTAAAAACACACTGGCACATTTACCTCATGACATCACATAATAAAGTGTTTTCAGTTTGAGGGAAGAACTCAGCCTAAATATGCAGGGTTTGCGTGTTAAACATGTGAATGAAACAAAACATAACTTCAAATATGTTTGTGATGAGGAAACAACATTATAACAGATCAAAAAATTGCGCAGTATGGGCCCTTTAAGCCTGTTCTTGCCTTGTTGATGGGCTTGTGTTTGAGAGTGTATGGCACAAAACGGGCTTTATGTGGGGTAACTCTTCTGTCCTGTGACTGTGTTAAAGGGTGAAGGAGGCGCTTGCTGCAGAGCCACAGGCAGAGCAGGGGCAGATCAGTCGCCTTCCAACTTTCCTCCCCCTCATTAACACCTGCATTACCTCTGGCCTTACACGGTACATGAGTGGATGAGAAAACCTGTTCAATCTTTGCTAGAGGCTTGTGTGTCATATCTGCTTTGGGCAAACTCACAAAATACTGCAGTTAAAGCTGTAGACTTACACAGTTGTAACAGTAACAATTGCACAAGGACAATAAGTACATCAATCAAATCATGGATTCAAAAACAATTGACTAATCTATAGTGCACACATGCTCTGGCCAAAGAAGAGCAGTGCACATGGTGCTTCGGTGTATTCACATGGTGTCTTTATCAAGTGGTAATCGATTGGCATCTGGAGTTTTTGTTGACCCATTGATGTCAGTTAGATAAACCAGCAAGCCATCCATCTTAGGAGTGGTTTTACATTCTCAGTGCCCTCTCCTCTTTCACCTTTGCTGTTGGAAATACGCCACTTACTCCATTCCTAAGGCTAACGTCACATACCATGGTGTGTTTTTACATTTTTGCAAACACCATTCAAAATTCAAAAAGGATTCGCCCCCATTAGAATTCTCAATGTGAAGTATAAAGCTTAGACGTATCAATACAGTTATTTTTCCTTTGTCAGCAGCTGTAGAAACATGAAGGTGCATGAGGAAGACTCTACAAAGCTCAGTTTTCAAGTTGAAAGAAAATACTTTATATGTTTTTTCTGGATACATTTCTTTCTTTTTCTTCTCTCCATCCTCCTCCCACTCGGTCGGGTTCATCTGCTTCATTTAAATGCTGTCACAATTCACCCCCACTTTTCTCCTTTTATCTCTGAACTGCTTTTGTCCCTCAGCGTCAATGCGCCAAGTCTACTATTCCCCAAGGCATGATATCCATCTATCCAATTTACCTTGAGAGATGTCCTTAAAGTTTCACTCTACATTTCTGTTTAGATTTGTGAGCTGGTTGCTTTTGAAGATGCTTGCTTCTGTTTTCGGGAGCGTCCAAGTTAACCTCAACCATCTGCTGGCTTTACACAAAGCTTCACAAGAGGTACGAGCTCTTGCACCAACACAATACAATTCAGTTTGTACAAACAAACTTTTCTAACTTTGTAAGTGGTATACGTGACTCCCAAAGCATTTCTTATAGTAGCTAAAGTTCTGCTTGAGTGGAATTTCACTAGACTTTTTTACAGTTAAATTACTGTCTGAGGAACATTAATTACATGGTTGACTAAATGTGTATATATGTCCGTCAGTGAAGCACTATTAGAACAGAATAGAAAAGAAAGACGAAAAGGAATTACCATTTTACTTCTGCATTGCTCTCATTAGTATAGTGATTATTGTTATAGTGTTACTGTGACTATTGTAAACATTTCACATAACCTTATTTTTTTATCTGTTTACGGGCAGTCATACGTAAACCTCTGCACTGCTCTGTTGTCCAGGGATCTCCGCTGGTTTATGTATACTTACAGCAGAGTGCATTGGACTGTGCTCTCATCCCATTGGCCCTCTTCTGTCACAGCCTCAGAATCCCATACACAATCTGCCCAGTGAATGTAAACAACAGGTTGCTCAGGTATTAATTCATGTTTGATGTTTACACTGCCACGATAACTACTGTGTCAACCTATGTGCCAATTATGGAAATTTAATTTATATTTTAATTCTGGCTCAGTGTTGGCACAGTTGTGTTCTATTATTTGCACTTTTTTTTTATCCCTCATTAGTTGTAGCGTTGTGTAACTATTCTGGTACAGGGTGTGTCATCTGCTTTACTTCATGGAGATATTACCTTTAAATAGCCCTCAATATTATAGTTTTTTTGTAAATAATATTGCAATAAAACAACAAATAATATATGTCAGAATATCAAAGTATATCTTCAAAAATGAGTTTACATTTTTGATGTTGTCTTGTTCTGCTTTTTGAGTACACCAATTTACAACAAAAATTTAAAAATAAGTACTTTACTTTTATTAAAAAAAACCTTATATATCTCAAAGCAGAATTATTATATTGTTTTTTCTGTTAATATTGAAGAATGATTCTTCAAAAAGTTGGAGTAATCCTTCTCCTGAATGGTGACCTGACTGAGGAGGAATTTGAGCGAGACCCCCTGAGCTCGGCTGTGATGACGTCTGTGAGTGTTAATATTTTTTAGATTGAAGTTACTGTTTTTGTCACATGATGTATATGGTCATAGCAGCTGTTGTAAGAAAATAAACTATATTATAATAATAAAGAAAAAGATAGGTGATAGGTGACTGCTTTAAGTACCTATTAAGTACCTATTTGCATTTTTTTACATCTTACTCCTTATCTGAAAATTATTTAAGAGATTTCACTGTGCTATCATACCTATTTGCATTTGAAGTAGTTGTTTTCTCTCTTCATTATGGCAACACTTGTAGAAATAAAATTCTTTAAACTGTATTAGTATGAAACTGAGCTGTGCTTTACACGACTAAACGTGTGGCTTTAATATGAAAGACTGGAGGATGTTTATGAGTCATGCATACTGTTGTCGACTTTAGTAAACATATTGGCCATGCGTGAGAAAGCAGCCGTGTTTATGGCTTGTATTTCACTGTTAATGGACCTTTATTGTTTATTGAGTGTAGGCCTGTTTAGCTGCAGTTCATTGCTAATCTAATCAACCCTGTCGGTAAGGGGAACAATACTTGGGGCTATGGAAGTATCTTTGAATGTCATGTCAAGTACCCCTAACGTCCCCTTAATTTGTGCAGTTTATCTTTTCATCAATCTCCTTCATTCCTTATTATTTTTTCAGCATTTTTGTATGCAGGACATGTTTTTATTTTGCTTGTGTGTTTCTAAAATGCTTGGTAAGCATTTACACATGATTAAATGCAGATTTGGAGACCCCCAGACCTCTGCTGAATGTTGATTTCTTTGTATTTGTTCTCCCCCGTCAGCTGGTACGTGAGCTGCTACATGAGGGCCAGGCAGTGAGTGTTGCTGTGTCAGCCCTGCCTGGTCAGGGAGGGCAGTGGCTGGCTCGCATCAGACAGCTCATCAAAGAAGGATCTGTCCCTGATGTTAGCCTGGTCCCAGTGGGCATCTCATACAACTGTGTGCCCCCAGCCAGCCCACAGGTGGATGTGTGTCAGCATCAACACCACACAACATACAACACAACACACTTTAAAGGGCCTGTACCTGATTTTGAACCATGAGTCAGAAACATGTTTTAGATTGAACTGTTGAAACCCACCCACTTAGTCTTTTCTGCTACTGTGATGTTGCACCTGCCTGGCCAGCCAAACACACGCCAGGCCAAATTGACTGAGGGTGCATCTGAGTTTTAAAAGGGTGCAAATTATCATTATTTTACCTACCTCAAATGAGGGTACACACACTTTTAAATGAGGTTACAATGCACCCTTTTGCACCCCGTAGACTTTGACACAATACTTTTAATTTGAGTAATTTCATGAATCTTAACACTTGAATCTGGTAATAACTTCAGGTAAAACCCTCATGCTCTCCTTGGGGTCACATTGACCCAAATAATAATTTTTTCCTTCCCACTTTCTAGGGCCGGTCAATCAGACCCAAAAATGTATTTTCAAAGAAATTCTTGCCAGGCAAGAAAATACATTTTTGGGTCTAATTGACCGGCCCCAAGAGAGCGGTAAGGAATAATTTTTTTCTTTGGGTCAGTGTGACCCCGAGGAGAGCGTGAGGGTTAAGACGTGTCGGAAACCATATCCTGTCTCCCAGATTTCCGATGGCCGTGATTCACAGACTGATCAACCTACCAGTGAAGTGCATGGTCCGTTTCTGTCAAAACATGACCACTTACAAATAAAAAAAGACCAAAAAAATGTGAGAAGGACTGAGAAACAGCATGGGTTTACAAGCAAAGCACTTAAACTGTAAATCTGAGTTTTTGTTGTTTTGTTCTGAATGAAAGGATAATTTTTGAGCGGAGATGTCGTCTCTTCCCAAGTAAGAGCAGTTGTATGTTATGTTTTACAGTCTGGTTCAGACCTGTTTGCATTCTAACAGAATGTAGAAGAGACTGAATGATCAGGCAAAATATGCACCGAGACATAGAAACAACTGCCTAGGATGTTCTCATTCAGTTGGTTCTATTTAGTTCTTATTTATTCCTGCTTATCTTGTTTTTTTCACACTTTTGATAATGCTCCATGACAGGGAATCAGCTGTCTGGTGAAGTGTCAGTTGTTTTTTCCCATGATTCTTATCAAACACTGTACCTGTGATTGGAAACGAAAACTGATGTCCCTGGCCATTGCTTCTCTCTTAGTTATTACTCAGCATTATGTGTTTCGATGTAATTTGACTCTGGTATCTGTATTCACACTGCATAATATAAATGGCACTTATCCTAACCAAAAGAAATTAAAATCAAGTACAACCCTTTAAAAGTGCAACAACATATCATTGATTTTTCTGTTCTTGATCAAAGACTCTAAATGGTTTATTGCTTTTGCTTATTTGTGCATTTTGTGAGCAATGAAAAGTCTGTAATAGTCTGTCCCCCATGAGAAATGATACTGATGAGAGGGCTTGGTTCAGTTAATTGCTGTAATAAGGTCCTCACCCAACCATTTAGTTTAATCATTCAAACACAATTGACATGGCATACTTAATCCCATGCTTAGACGCTCTGCAAATATGCCTATTTATCTAACTGTTATAGATTGTTTTCATTAGCACTATTGCTGTCATAATGCTCTCTATGGAAAGACTCCATTATGTTATTATTGCTAACTCACTGGGTGTAATCCTTTTATAAACAAGCTTGTCTGTCTTTGAAGATTGGCCTGAGCGGTGTAGTAAAACGCTTGCTGTCTCTCCTCTGGACGAGGTCATGGGGAAGTGTACGGATTGACTTGGCCCAGCCTTTCTCTCTGAAGGTAAACCATAAAAGGAGCCAGCATCAAAGTCTTCTCATTTAACATCCTGCCTTGCATTTTAATGGTCCAAGTGACGCCCGCCTACTTGTGATGCTTGGATGTAGATTTGGCTCCACTTTGCATAGTAAAATAAAGATTTAATTCTGTCAACTGGACAGAAGTTGTTGTTTTTTAGTTAAAATCTTTGTCCAGTTGACAGAATTGAGTCTTTCTTTAACTGAGGATCCTACTAACAGAGGGATTACACAGATCTCCACTTTGCATGTTCACCGATTTTCACCATTCTTTAACATCTGCGTTGGAGTGTCCAAACTTTTGACCTTTCCAGCCATTTAAGTCTCTGTTCCTATTCCCACATATTTAGAGAGTTCCTGTTTAATTGGTGGCAAATGATTTACCTAAAAAAGTAAAGTGACATTTATATATATATATTTTTCTCTTGAATATTAATCAAGACTTATTGGATGTACTGGCTTTCAGGACTGTAAGCTGCCGACCTATTGCTTTGCTAATCTCTCTTTGCATTACAACTGATAAAAAGAACGATAGAAATCATACAGTGTTAGAAATGTACCGATCCATCTTTTTCTGTTCTGATACCGATGCCGATATAATACCTTTGGCTTTGCTGGTATCAACAAAGGAGTAGACTAAATAAAGTAAAACTAATTTCCTTTAAACACACGGCGTATTGTAAAAAAAAATATCCAGTTGTGTTTTGTAACTGTTATTTAACATTTTTGGCAAGGCGTTTGGGCCAATGTTATCCCGTAAATCGTCTTATTACACAAATGTATAGACCAAATTGGGATATCGACTGAAACGATATCACTGAACCTGAATCTTGTCCATCAAAATGTTCAATATCGGCATAGATAGCCGACACCAATATTGTGTCGGTGAATCCCTGGTGTTATTGCAGCGGTCATGTAGCTCTTTTTCTACAATTTGAGGCGATCACCTTTTGAATGTTGTGTTACTTTACAAGCCCTGCATGTACAAAAATGAACTGATTATAAGCACAGTTGTGTTTATAATAAATATATTTTGTTTCAGGAAATGTGTGACTCTGGGAGGTGCAGAGTGGATGACTGGCTCCCTCTACAGGACCTGTTGCTGCCCGTGATCTTAAACAACAGGTCACTATGCCATATAAACTATAATTTGAATTTCTGATGTTATTATTAATATGCATTGTCGCTGCCTGAAAATGAATTTCCTTTGGGATAATAAAGTATTATCCATCTATCTCTCTATCTCAAGTACTCAAAGAACTAAATAGAGCTGAACACTTTTGGAAAAATATCTTAATTGCAATTTATCAGACAAGCATTGCAATTATGACTAAATTTGCGGTTTATGTATCAGTAGTAGCATTCATTTTAGAGTTAAGATTTTAAACATGCCCAAGAGTATTAGAATTTTAAAGAAAACTGATATAAGTACTGTCAAAATAATTCTCATTCATTTCAGAACAGTATGTAGTGGTGTAAACTACATAGTTGGCTGGTCTTGTACTTGATAAGATGGGATATTTTGGTTTTAGCAGTTATATTTTTTTAATTATTGCAGTCTTTGTGATTTGCTAATTGTGCCCATTGCAATTTTTATTGATTTGCAACATAATACATTGAATTATTCATTAACTCCACTAAAAATGCATACTAGGCAATATAGGTCAGCTGTACAATCCCACATTGCAGAACCACATTTGGACAGTCAGCTTTTTCATATCATTATGGTAAACTATGGAACTCACTACTCCCTGAACTAAAGTATTTAACAGAGCTTAAGATGTTCACCTTGAGGCTCAAGTTGTGGTTAAAAACAAACCAAAGTTCTACCCACCTGTAAATATTTTGTGTGTGAATATGTATGAATGTGGGAATGTCTGAAATGTGAAATTGTACTGTTGTAAAAATTTGTTTAAAGATTGTGCTTTTAAACTGTTTTGAACTGTTTGGTGCAGGGAAAAGCTCAACCAGGGACAGGAGAGAGAATTAGCGCTAGCTATACAGTCCCTGACAAAAGTCTTGTCGCTTATCCATTTTGTAGAAACAAAAGCTTATAACTTGACTTTAAATTAATCGATTGGTTTTAGAAATGTCTCATATGAAAGCTAAAACCCTCCCAAATTATGCTCAATATACTAAAATAAATTTGCTTCACTGAAAAAAGGTTGATCATTTAATGAACACAGAAAGGTCAGATTTTGGCAAGACAAAAGTCTTGTCGCCTTGTCATATGATGCACCCAATCCTAGATTACAGCCTCACCTGTGGTCAGTTACTGATCAATCAGTTAGTGTTTGTGTATAAAAACAACCCCAGCACACCAGACCTTCACATCAACTGCAACTTGACCTCTGACAACATGCCTAAGATCCACCCTGAGACCAAAGTGTTAATTATCAAGAGGCTGAAGACCAGATCCACTGCTGAGGTGGCTGACACCTTCAATGTGTCTCAGCGTCAAGTACAAAGAATAAGAAAAAGATCTGAAATGACTGGAGATGTTTTTGACAAGCCCAGGTCCGGCAGACCCCGCAAGACAACTGCTCGGGAGGACCGTTTGTTGATTCGAAAATCCACGGCCAGCCCCTTTTCCACTGCAGCAGACTCCACCAGGCCTGGTCACCTCAAGTCCCTGTGTCAACCTGAACAGTTTGTAGAATTCTGTCTCGAAATGGCCTCCATGGTCGAATCAGTGCACAGAAACCAGCACTAAACAAAAGGCAATTAAAAACCGTGTGGCATTTGCCAAGGCCCACAGCCTGATAAAAGGATGGACACTGGAAAAGTGGCAGAAGGTGGATTTTTCTGATGAATCCTCAGTTGAATTACATCACAGCTGCCACAAATATTGCAGGAGACCTACTGGAGCCTACATGGATCCAAGATTCACCCAGAAAAAAGTTCAGTTTGGTGGAGGAAAAATCATGGCCTGGGGTTACTTCCATTATGGGAGTGTGCGAGACATTTGCAGGGTGGAAGGCAATATCAATAACCTAAAATATCAAGACATATTAGCTGCCTCTTACATTCCCAACCATAAAAGGGGTCAAATTTTGCAGCAGGATGGTGCTCCATCGCATACTTCTATCTCGACATCAAAGTTTCTCAAGGCGAAGAAGATCAAGGTGCTCCAGGACTGGCCAGCCCAGTCACCAGACATGAACATCATTGAGCATGTCTGGGGTAGAATGAATGAGGAAGCATGGAAGGCAAAACCAAAGAATCTTGATGAACTCTGGGAGGCATGTAAGACGCTTTCTTTGCTATTCCTGACTTCATCAACAAATTGTATGAATCATTGTTGAACCGCATGGATGTAGTCCTTCAAGCTCATGGAAGTCATACAAGATATTAAATATGGATCTCACAGCACCACGACTTAATTCACTGACGTTATGCAACATATTTTTGTATTTGAAGTAAATTATTTGTTCAATTTTCTGTAGGCGACAAAACTTTTGTCTTGCCAAAATCTGACCTTTCTGTGTTCATTAAATGATCAACCTTTTTTCAGTGAAGCAAATTTATTTTAGTATATTGAGCATAATTTGGGAGGGTTTTAGCTTTCATATGAGACATTTCTAAAACCAATCGATTAATTTAAAGTCAAGTTATAAGCTTTTGTTTCTACAAAATGGATAAGCGACAAGACTTTTGTCAGGGACTGTAGACTCTATATGGGTCACATCAGTATGCTCTGCCTGTGACTGTGTATGACTGAACTGTCTTTGTCAAGTAAATAAATAAAATAAATTGTCTTGCCTAAAGACATGAGGAATGTTTCCAGTAAAGCCACTGCTGCTCCACTGTGGCACATGATATTCCTAGTGGTCTCCAATCATATCTTCCCTCCCTAGAACTAAATTCATTGTTTGCTAATAGTGTTTGAGAGGATATCACTGCGAGTCCTGTCATCTGCAATGTAAAAAAGTTTCCATCTTTAAATTTAGGAATGTAAACTTGTCTCTAAGCTCCACGAGTGAAACTGATATGATGCCATCCCCTGGTGAGATTTCATCCTCTTAAACTTGGTCCAATTACAAACAACATTAGACTGTCTGGCAGTGAAAAAGATAAGACACAAATAACATCCCCCTCAATCTCTGTTTGGCGTCTGTCGGTGCAAGTGGCTTCTCTCTGTTTAATTCTTTCAGTGAGCTAGAGGCAAACAGTGCAAATCAAAATGGGAGTAGTAGAAACGATAGAGCGGTTATTAGCAGTTTAACATGTAAATGAGCAAACACATAATCATCCTCACTGATCTGTTTGTCTTTTGTTTCTTTGTGGTGGAGTTTTAAGTGTTGTCATTGAAAGACTGCAAAGAGCTAAAGGCCAGCGTGGTGCCAGTCGATAACACATTCAGAAATAATCTTAATAGCATTTTGTATTATTTTTGCAGCTATAACTTGCTTGTTTTCTCCATTAGAGAAATTCTATGGGGCACGACCCTGTTGATGTTCAGAAACATACGGTCAGTGTTATGTTAATACTTGATGATATCCATCACTCTCACTTGTTGGTCTTAAGATCTGAAACAGCAAATGAGCTGTGGTTTTGTTTTGTCTTTACAGCTATAATTAACTTGCTTTTTTCTCTAAAGAAAATCTATGGTGCATGGCCCTGTTTATGTTCATTGACCTGTTACATAAACAAAAAGAAACATATGGTCAATAATTTGTAAAGACTGACATCCCACCTCTTTCAGTTTGTGTTAAGATGTGAAAGTGCAAGTGACATTTTTTGTTTTCTTCTTGTTTTCACCTTTCAAGAAAATCAATGGGGCAAGACCTTGTTGATGATCATTAAGCTAGTACATCAGTGATAAGAAACATAAGGTTAACCATACTGTATGTGAATACTTGAGGACATTGCACCACTCTGACTTTTTTGTTTTAAGATCTGAAATTGCAAGCGGGCGTAGGAGGATGTCATGGCTCCTGCCTCTCCATTATGCATCTGAACCTAAACCACATCTCCAAGATGGCAGCATCGCCATCATCCTTCACCTCATCTACTGTAGGTCTATGAACACAACCCACTGTTCAATCATAAACAACTATTGATAGACTGTTCTTAAAAGGGACATGTTGTGCAAAATTTACTTTAAAGGTACACTCTGCAGTTTTTTGGTAGAGGGTCTACCCCTGTTTGTCTCCATGAAGATGCCTGGAATTTTCCATGGTATGACTTTAAACATTTTCCTTACAGGTGTTTCTGTTGCTCAAAAATACAATTATTCCTTCTGTGAATAGGGGCGACTCTCCACAGATCTGAATTGTAATGTTGCATAGTGCTGTAACCTACTTTGTAGCATAGTACTGTAACCTTGCAATATATGGCTTTGATCTATACTGTGGAACATTCTAGACAAAGCAATATCATTTCCATACATTTCCATGGAGACAATAGGTGGCGGATCCTCCATTAAAAATGTCACACAGTGCACCTTTAAAGAGCTTCTAACCGTTCTAATTTACCCACTGGAAACTGGACTTGTCTTAATTTTTTTTTTAAAGTTTTAAATTTATATTTATTGCTACGTACAATGTCTGAAATATGAAATTGTGATCCACAGGCATCATAGATTCTAACTATATAGCAGACAAAAACAGATATCTCACCATGTTCTGCACATATGATTAATAACAATATAGCTGAGGGGGGTTACTCAAGAAGGAATGGAAACTATTTGTACTGCACTAAAATAGATTGTCTCTCTTAATAGTGTCTTCAAGAGCTGAGAGTAAACTCAAAGCCTTTGACATTTTTCCCTCATGTCTTCTTTAAAGGTGCATTGTGTAACTTTTCTGGTGGAGGGTCCATCAATCATTAAACTTTTAAGTATTTGCTCTTATCAACTGGTACAAAGGTAGAGACTAAATAAAGAAACTAATTTCCTTTAAACAATGGAATGGTCAAAAAAATATCCAATTGTGTTTTGTAACTTGAAAATTTTTTGACAAGGCGTTTGGGCCAATGTTATCCAATAAGTCTTATTACACAAATGTATAGACCAAGATAGCATATTGCCTGAACCAATATCACTGAACCTGTATCTTGTTCATCGAACTGTATCGGCACAGATATCTGATACCAATATTGTGCTGGTGAATTCCTATTGTTATTGCAGTTATCATGTAACTTTTTTTCTAGAATTTGAGAGTCCATCAATTATTCAATTTTTCTATCTTCATGGATACCAAATCAGATCAAGTTACAGGTTAGAGCTGTGGAGTGGCAACTTTTTCTGGGTATTTTGGAGCTATAAAACCACCTGTAATTTAATAAATATAAGGGAGAGCTGTTTAATGTCATACTGTGGAACCTTCCAGGTAGAGCAATGACAATGACAAATGACATATCCATAGAGACATGCAGGTGATGTACCCTCCACCAGAAAAATGGGCAGTGGACCTTTCACTAAATGATATTTATGACATAAATATTGTATGTTTGCTGTCTGACTTCATAGCTGCCATGTCCTGTAAGTCTGTGATGTCCACTGGCATTGTATCCAGCCTTTTGCTCCACAGACATCCTAAGGTAATTAAGCCTACTTTGTCTATTTCAAAGTTTCCTGCTGTATCTGTCAAACTCCATGGGGGGTAATGAACAAAATTGACTTCCTTCTTAGTTTATTAGTGCGAGAGTGACTCATACCCAAGTGTCTATTTTATGTCACTGGCTGGTGTTGTTAAGATGATTTTTGGCTCCCCCTGTCTTCTTCACCTCTGCAGGGTGTAAAGCTGTCAGTCTTGTGTCGTGATGTATCATGGCTCACGAAGGAGCTCTTGTTCAGGAACAAAGACGTTGGCTTTGGGGGCACTCTCGCCAGGGTGGTTCACTACGCCCTCAGTTTGCTCGCCCCGCATCTCATCATGTCAGCAGCACCATCCAGGTTGGTTTGTTTCTGGTTTTAAGGTTTTCAGCATTTTTATTTCAAAGTTCACCAACATGACATTGAGTTGCCAGTTGTAAAGGACTCTTTCATATCTGATACTCACTCCCTAAACCCCAACACTTGCAACCAATTATTAAATGTTGCTAGTGTAGCCTCTGCAGCTCTGTGAGTTCATTCTGAATATTTTAAGTGTTCACATGAGCCATGACCTCTGAGAATGAGAAAAAAACTTGTATGTGTTTTCTTCATGCAGGTCAAACCACTGGCAACCCAAGTTTAGTTATGATTTGACTTCCTTTTTTAAACCAGCAAGAGTGCACGCTACATACCGTACCTTTAAAGGAGTAGAAACACAAATGATGTTGATTTTTCAGTCTGGGGCCCTTGTTCTGAATATACTCCCTCTTCTTTTATTTTAGGAAAGACCCACTGATTTTGCCTCGTCCCTCCCCTGCAGCTGCTCATCATCTCAGTCTCCAGGCGCAGACCGTCACTCACGCCTTTATCCTGGAAGCTGTTGGGGGTGAGGAGTCTTATCTGACACACGCACCACGCATCTGCAGGCATCTTACTTATAGAAGACATCATGGTAATGATCTGTTGGAGGGTTTGTGCTTTTGTTTAAAGGTGACATTTTGAGGACCTTTGCCCATGCAAGAGATGGGATAATTTGTATGGATGTCTTAATTGCTATGGCAACAGTGCTATTTTTAACATAACTCTGAAACCCATGGATGTGTTAGTCTTAACTGCATATACAGGAGCGTGCGAGCAAGGGTTAACCATGCTTGAACAATGTGATTTCAAAATAGATTTGAAAAAAACGTATTTTGATAATTGAGAAAAATATATAAATGCCATATATAAAACAATATATCAACAGTATTTCTTCGACTAATGCTTAAACAGGCACTATGTAACTTTTTGGGTGGAGTGCAGCCAAGATATTAGGTATTTTTTAATTTACATATTGGTGCGGGGAGATTATTGCATATTTTTTGAAGGTTACTTTAAACTGTTGAGCATTACTTATAATAATTTCACATTTCTCTCAATAGTCTGTAGACAAGTTTAGTTCTATGGCAACTGAACAGCTATCGTACAGAAGAATGCCATTTAATTCACCAGGTAAAGAACTCTGCAAGGATATCAGTAAGTTATGTGGAACATCTAAATTTATGTCTTCCATTTTAGCCTCACAGCAGCAAACCCAATAGCAGTGCTTTATATCCAAACACAGGGGTGAAATATGAGTCCCATTCTAACTTTGTTGTGAGAGAAAATAAAAAATAAAGGTGGTGTTTTGCAGTGCAGGAGGTTGTATCCTCTGTTGAAAATGCTCTTTGTTGTTGCATGATTCATTGGATGAGGAGCTTGTGGGCAGTGTGTTGTGTACAGCTGAAAGCCATTAAAACATACCCCTGTGTGAAGTACAATACAATCTCCCAAAATTAATATAGTTAGTTCAGTCTTCATTTTGTCCTGTGGTGCAAGTCGTGACTGTACTCATGCAGAATAAATAAACCAATCGCACATTACTTTACAGAACAGTGAATAATTGGATGGAAATGGTATGATAGCTTTCTGGAATAGGTAGAAATGCATTTTCCAGTCCTATTTCCAGTATTATCAAGAAAATAGTGATGACATTTCCCTGTAATTTAAAGCCCTAATACTGGGTTAGGATGAGGAGCAGTCATCAAGTAAAATAAGAGAACAATTATTTGTCCCTCAGTGAGGAAATTGCAAAGTGGAAACAGCAGCAGTGGATACGAAAGGAGTGTGACGTCACCCATAGCGTTCGGCTCCAGTCAAATGAAGCTCATGATGCTATGAACAGTTATGGGGTGGAGCCAGGTCTGCATTAGGAATAGGAATTTTTTTTACAGACAAAATAGCAAAATACAAACCCCAGGATCATGTAGAGTAGGTTAATACTAACAAAGACCAAAATGACGAGGCTTAGTGCAGCAGTCACAGAGAGAAGGGTAGTAATTTTCCAATGTAAAGTCACTTGGAAACAGATTCAGTGGAGCCAAAAGTGCCTCCATGAATACTTCCTATTCAGAATGCGGGTTAGTGGGTTAGCTGTGTCCATTTACACTCTATGGAAGTAAGTAAATCAAAAATATTCCAGATTAATAAATTAGATATTTAGAACAAGCAAAGTTGTGTTGTCTCGAACTCTTACAAACTAAGGAATAGACTTGATATTCAATACGGATTCCAATACCACAATGATAATAACAAAATACTTGATTAATGTGATTTTCAACATTTGAATAGTAGTAATTTCTTTTATATTACTTTTATATTATATGTGTGTAATCCCTCAGTCATCCTGGTATGTCCCATAGTGGTCCATGGGCATATACTGGTCTATGTGGTCTTATGCTTGTTCTGAAACATCTCAAGATCATTCTAAAGCTATTTAGGAAAGATTCATTTCTGTCCTGTGATTTTTTTTTTTTTAGTATTGATACCCACTCAAATGATGATCTAGTTTTGACATTACTAGTCTTAGAGTTGATTAGTATCATTAGTAGACAATCCTAACGAAAACAGAACAACATGAGTCCTGTCCTACTGCTTTTGTTGGGATGTATGTTATTAAACGTATCTATCTCCATGGAGACAAGACTCTGTTCACACTAAGAACGCATGTTTTTCAAGATATTTTTGAGCAATGAATACAAGGGTGATAAATGGGGGGGATAAATGCAAGATGGATGTGCTTAATTCTAGGCAGTGCAATAACCATCTCCATGGAGATGAGAAAAAAATGTATATAGCGCATTTTTAAATATTACACATAGTTATCATCTTATTTCCATTCTGTTACCAAGCTATTAGTGTGCTGATAAAGGCGCATTGTGTAACTTTTCTGGTGGAGGGTCTGTCAAATGCTTTTCTTCTTGGAGATGTTATTGAATTGTTTGGAATATTCCACAGTATTGTATTAAACCTTTCCATCTTCATAGTAAGCCAACCAGACCAAGTTACACATCAGAATGCCTGTTTTTCTAGGTATTTTTTAGCAATAAAAACGCCTGTAATTAAAAAATAAATGTAAGGTTGATCTTTTTAATGTCATACTGTGGAACATTCCAAGCAGACCAATGACATATCCATAGAAACAAGCAGACGGTGAGCCCCCCCAACCAAAATGTTACATAGTGCACCTTTAAAATGCAATAAACCTTTAATAAGTATATTTTACCTTCAGCCTGTGCAGTGTCGGCCATGTTGAGGGATGTGGCGGGCAGCGGTGTGAGTAGCCATGTGCGGAGCCATGGCGTGGATGGAGCAAAGGTCAAAGGTGACTTGGAGTTTGACGTAGTTTTGTGCGAGACGGAGCTGACCAACAGAGCCCTGCAGCTATGCCATCTCCTGCCTCCGGGATTCATGCCAGTATGTTAAAATTCTAATCACGCCACGCATCCAGCATGTTTCAATGAGTGGATTTTTAATGAAGCTCAACAATATTCATCCTTCATTGCTGCCTTGCTATCAACTCAAAGGGCTTTTCATATTGTGAGATGTAGGCACATGTGAAGAGCTCTAAATCATAACCAGAAACGCATCTCCTTTCTGTTTCCCTACCTTTCATTATGATCTTTTTGTTGAGTGTTCTTGCAGCCTTTTCCTCACAGAATAATACAGCTTTCATTTCTGTGTTGGCTATCTCTGTCTCATCTTTCTGATCATTTCTCTATCTCACTGTCCACTCTTCCCCCAGCAGCTGTCTTCCTCCCCTGGCCGTGCTGTTTGTGCTGTAACCTTGCTCCACCACTGAACTCAGTTGTCCTCTTCTCTCCCTTTCCCCACAGCCTTGTCAGTCTTCCCACAGTTTTGCGCTGGATGCCGTTGACAGTCTGGTGCGCTGTGGCATATTGATCATGGAAGAGGTAAAGATGCTTTGTAAATTGTGTTAGACCAGAAAATTATGTGCTGTAAAAATCTTATATTATACAGAACAGATTTTTGCATGCTTTAAGTCATGTTAAAATGTCGTTATCTCATCAAAAAACATACCTGAAGTTGTGTTTGTTTCTACATCTCTCTGCTCAAAACGTTCTGTTCCACCTTGTGATGTCATGAAGCTGTAGTTTTCAAGCTAACAGTTACTTTTTACCTTTTGTTTAATAGAGATGGGCAGTTATGGGGCAGAAATTATCCAAATGATCCAAGTGAAAGTATATTGAGTTTATAGTGTATTCTGTCTGAGAGCACAGCCTAAATACACAGAGTTTGTGTGTCAAACATGAGTGAATGAATACTTTGGAACAGACTAGATCTAGTGCCACACAATTTCTCACATTCAAAATGCCACAAAATGTCTCATTCCACATCAATTCTGATATACACTTTAAAATGTCACCAATCTGCCCCAACGTTGTTCATTAGAAAGTACAGATGAAGAGTGCAATCACTGGTAACATACTGAAAATAATGAATACAAAATAAGTTATGATTCAACAACAGTTATAAACATTCATTAAAGAGAAAATATATTAACTTTTCACATTTACTTCTTGTTCCTCAGTCTTTCTTCTTGACAACAATTTACCCATCTTAAAATTACACCTCCAAAACTCGAGCATACATGTCTTATATTATGGAAAAAAGATACTGTTGGACCTGGACATACATACATTTACAGATATAAACAATAGTAGTGCCTTGTCTTATTTTGCAGGTTCCCAGAGCTGTGCCTATTTGCGACGTGTGGAAAAGAGATGGTACTTTCTCTTGGGCCACCAGCGATGACCCTTACAGCACCGACTCTGACTGTGAGGAGATGGAGTCCCGCTCTTATAAGGTACAAAAGAAAAGTGCTAATGTTCGCTCTGTGGTTTTCACATGGGAACAGTGTCTAAAAGTGCACCTCTGGAGACGATCCATGTTAATACAGAACAGAAATGGAGTAAATGACAAATCAGAAGTAAATAATAATCAGTACTTGTATACACTTTACAAATGTATTTCTGTGCAGGTCAAAACTGAGACCTTAAGATCATTTATTGATACTAAATATAATTTTAGTATAGTTTAAAGATGCAATAGCCACCACATGAATGTCTCCCTGGAGATAATATTGCATGAATTGTTCCACAGTATCCAGTAAAGTAATTCAATGTGCTTTACAGAATAAGAAAGACATTAAAATCACAATTGAAAGAAATCAAAACATAAATAATCATCATAAAATTAACATTAAAAGAGTCATATTCACAGCTAAACAGAACCACTTTGAGCCTGGCTTTTAGAGGGTGATCTATATAAATAAGCCAAATTTTATGCCATGTCTTAATATCATATTCAATAGATACATAAATACAATATTAGAAACATATTTAGTCTTGTATGTCATTTCTGGATTTGTGCAGGCGCCTTCTCTCCTCACATTATAAAGTGAATGATAATAACTGATGGCTCATTAGATGCGGTTCTTTTTTTAGCCTGAAAGAGCTTTTTAGGTAATTATTTAGTCGTCCCTTTTCACTGCCTTTATCAGTCTGTCCTAGTTTCCCTCTATTGGATATGCAATGTTTCGTATTTAGAAAACCCAAAAAGCAGAAGACCACTTTCAAACAAACCATTCAAAATATTTTTAATCCAGTCCATTGTGGTTTTAGAAAGTAAACTGATAATAATAACTTGGCGTAGTGTAATTTAAATGGTAAAAGTTCAGTTTATTTTTCATGAAAAAGATAAGGCTTTACTGTGGACTCTGATGTGTGATACATATTCTGAGGACTTCCTACATTTAACAAAGCTTCGAAACCAAGAAAGAAATGAAAACTTTAAAGAAGTTAAACATTAAAGAGATCTGAGCAGAGCCTTTACTCATGAAAAATGTCTGAACTCATTGGGCGGCGTATTCTCCAGACAGAACAGTTTTATAGGCACCGCTACACATACTTAAACTTTTATATGGTGCAATGTAGAGAGTTCTCCTTTTTTATACACTTTACTGGAAACTCAAGTGCCTTCATAAAATTAAACTACCAGCATATAACTAACTAACTAGCATATAACATATAGCTTTTTGAAAAATGCAGGTTTTACTATACCAAAATATTCTGTACAATCTTAGAACAATAATATAATAATAAAAATTGTAAAAAATAAGTGATAGTAGAGCAACAGTAGCTCATTTGGTGTTTTGATCTGAAGGTTGGTGTTTTGAATGTGACCATTTATAATACTTTACTATTTTGTGTACAATAACAAACTGTAACACAGCTGTCCAATTTATTTTATTTAATAATGTGATTGTTAAAGCTCATCTATATATCACCACCATTGTTTTGTGTTAGAGCTACTTTGACTATCTGTAGCTAAGAGACCACTGAATATTTGAAAGTCCATGTAAATTCAGGTGCTTGGTCTTTTTGGTCGTAGATAACAAAGCCGAGCCAGTGTCCAGACCTGCTCTTCTTCCTCTGCAGTTTGTTGTCTGAGTATCTGAGGTCACTGTGCTGGGCCACTTCAGCTCTGGAGAACCAGCTCTCACCTCTGCTGGGTAAGTTCTGCATAAAGCTGAGTCCCCTGAGTGTACATTGTGTTGGCTGTTTGTGATGAAATATTATTGATCGTGGGGAAAGTGTTTGCGACAGATATCTGCAGTGTCTGATATTTTAGAATCTTGGTCACAGAGTGAGCCCTCCTCTTGCTGCTTCTACGATCAATCTCTGTCAAACATGTGAACAACCGTAAACACAAGCACTCCCCCAAAGTAGAAGAGGCGATCAGCAATGAACCCAGACCATATCTCACTAGGTCTTTTTCATGTACTAACTTTAACCAGCATAGGACCAGCATTTGCTCAGACTTATGTCTTTTTAAAATTTTCACATGCCCTGATGAAGACGCAAGTTAAAACGCATTGACGTTTGACATGAAATAAAATTATAGCTAAGCATATCGGAGTGCCTCGGATCTCTTCTTTCATCTAGTTATGTCATTTTAAATTTCACACATGCTGTAGTGTAACCCATATAAGAGAAAGTGGACTGTCTTAAATCTGAACAGTTCTAACTGTGATGTGTAGTTTTCATAGTGTGACTTTTTATTTATTTTTTGTTCTTTTTAAAAATTCAAATGTCCAGAGGCATCAACATCTGAGAGAATGCTGAGATATTAAGGTCGAGGTTAGGTTAAGGTTTAGTTTATTGTCCCCTCAGGGAATATGAATTGCAAAACTAATACAAATACTCCTGCAAATCATAATCCCATGCATTTCAGAATATTTGTAGGGGTCTAAAAAACAGGGTTAGCGGATTTAATACATTGTAAGACCTCGATGGCAACAGAATGCCTTGTTGTTTGCAGTGAATGATAATATCTTTAATAAAGGCAATTTTGATTTGATTGCAATTGATCTTGCAAACCTGAGTACTGTGCTCATTTTTGCATGATTATATACTCCTTTAGATAGATAGATGCCTTTGGGTTCGTGTGGACTGAGTGAAGGGTTGTGAAAATAAACATTGATCTGTGAAAGGAAAAGTGGGGGAGACTAATCCCTTAGAATTACACTGATGTTTTCATGGGCTTGGCCACTTTGTAACTCTCTGCTCTTTGAGAAAAACAGACCCTCAAGATAATGGTTGTTCTGGGTTGGCATATGTATAAAAGCACAAGCGCTGAGACCTTGATTCAGATATTGTTGTTATCGTCCACAAACAGGAAGCACAGATGTACTGAATAAAGGCCAGGGTTGTGGATTCACTTATTGTGTATCAATCACTACATTAAGATTGCATTCACATATGTGTAGGGCTGGGTGACATGGCTGCAAAATAAAATCTCAACTGCTTGACTTTCAAACGACGGAAGCTTTTAACGTTTTCAGTCTTATCATGTGCTGTTATTTAAGACATTGTAAACTGCCTTCAGTAACATTTGTAAATCAAATTAATTTGATGAACTGCTCAGCCCTACATATATGTACACAACACAGAACAGGACCTAACCCAGAACTAATTCAGGACAATATCAGACTGAATCGGGAGCCTAACCAGGACCAAACCAGGTACAAGTGTAAATTTTGCATTCAAAACCGCATCAACATCAGGACTAAACTGGGCTTAAACTTGGACTGGTATAATTAGCCTAAAACTGCACCTTGTATCTTTGTTGATCTTAATTGATGCACATTTCTCACTGTTGTTTGTCTCCCTTTAGAGGCAGACTTTAAGATTCAAATACATTGTCAATTGTGCGACATGGCAAGAAAGAAGAAAATGCACTATGGTAAGAATGAGAAATCATCCAAGTCTAGAATCTTTTATTACTGCGCAGAAATGGTGTTAAAGTTAACTGAATTACTGAAAGTTTCAACTCCAGTGAGCAGAGTTACTAAGCATCCACTTCCATTATCCATTATGTAATAGTTTTATTAAAATGTCAGTCTAACATTCCTATCCCCAGAAGTGCAAATGGTTTGTTCTTTTGTGGCTGGATTAGTTCTGAATTGGAGATCTTGTGATTCATGTGTGCTTCATGCTGTATTTCAGAGAGCTGCTCAGTGGAGGCTGTGCACACTGCACTCCGAACGCTAATAGACCTGGGGGTGAGTGACAGCTCCTCTACACATGTTTCTCTAAAGCTGTCTGCCCAGAATTACAACTTGTACAACACAAGGTGAAACCTACCATCAACCTGTAAACTTTAGTTTGAGCTCTGCCTGGTTTATCGGACAGCCATCTTTATTCACATTTTTGGTAGTGGTTATAAACCTTGTTCTGAATAGTGAAGCGACAGAAACATTTACCCTATTTATATTTAAATTCACACTGTGTAACTTTTTTGGTGAAGGCTGCACTGCCTGCTTATCTCCATGGAGCTGTTAATTCTTTGCCTGGAATGTTCCATGGTAACTTTATGGGATAAAATCTATCTCCAAGGAGATGCCAGTTGATGCATCAGTTGAAGTTACTAGTATTTTTCAAGATATTTTTTGAGCAATAAAAACACTGAATTTAAATTAAATAAATGCTGGATAGATATGCTTAATGCCATAGTGCCATAGCGTGGAACATTACAGTCAAAGCAGTAACATCTCCATGGAGACAAGCTGGAGGCAAACCCACCACCAAAAACGTTATGCAGTGCACCTTTAACAGACTAAGTTTGTGATTCTGTTAAGTCTTAAACTTGGGACTCTTGAGATTTTAAACTTAAGTAGGCTGGAGTGAGGCAAGTGTAGTTAATACAAGTATTCCTCCGTGGTTTCAATGGTAATGAATGCTGAAGTGAATACAAATAAGAGAACACTGGCAGTGCTTTTAGTCCAAGGGGAGGCCATGGAATTTTATGCAGCATAATGTTTATCAGTTTCATTCTTCCATTGGCTGATGGGCACAAGACCTGCAAATGTCTGTGCTAAAACTCTTATCTCAAACGGCAGCATTTTGGACAGAAGAAACGCTGGGACAACTTACCAAAAAGTACACATCAGGCGAGGGCTCACTGCAGTCTGTTTTGAATGTATCTATTGCACAGATTTGTCATCTTTGTCACTTGGTCTCGGTCTTGCTGGAAGGGATGTCAGGATTTTTTAATCAGTAATCTGGATACAGATCACAATATAATCAAACAAAAACGATTTTGTGAAATATTTTTAATTCACTCTTAGATGAGCCTAAATGTAATGCTTTTATTTGGCTGTTTGTAAGTTTTTAATATTTTTTTTAATTATTTCTAAAGTTTGATTTCATAAAGCTATTCACATCTTAGAGAAATAGCTTTGATCTATGAAACAATGTGAGCCTTTCACTGTTAATCATGAATAAAATGTAAAATCATGCCATTTCTTTTCACAATTCTCCTAACACAAAGATCTGATAACACAAAGAGCCTTTTAAAAGTTTATTTTAATACCAAAAATATCTTGTTTATACAGAAAATAGGTAAAGGGTATAAAAGTTGATGCATTCCTATTTAAAATCATATCAAAGTGGAACATTTTGACTTAATTTTCACTTCAAATAGATGTTTTTATTACACTTACTACCTATAATCACTAATAATGAAACAGCCTGGGTGTACATTATACCCACATTAATCATGTTGTCAAAGCTGCTGTAGATGGTCTTCTGATGCTGTGTTAATATTCACTTTAGATCCTTTTGGAGAAGCACGAGAAAGAAGGCGTTTTCCTGAGTGTCAGCCCTTTGTTCCACTCGTCAGAAAACAGACAAAAACTGCACGGCTTCATCTCCCAGTACCTCTACAATTATCACGTTTAACAAAGCTGCCTGACTCAATGCCTCAGCACTATTGTTTTGTAGCGTTGTACCTCGTTTATGTTTGTTTTGGAGGAGACCGCATTTTCACCAGTTTGAAGATGAATGCTGAGTCAGGACACAGTGTCTTTACGTGACCTGAATTTCTGTAGTGATGTGAGGTCGATTTTAAGTTTGTTTACTAATAACATTAGCATAAATCCACAGGAGATGAAGACTCTGAATATGTGTAATCAGTTGTGAAGATGTTCTGTAGGAGAGAGGCAGCTTCTGTTTTTCACTATGTTTATAATGAGGATGATTCTCTGTGTTTGCTTCAGAAATTTGGTTTTGACAAGTTCATCTGAGAAATGTAATGCACAATTTCTATTACAATTAACATAGCTGATTAATACTATAACATGAGGGCTTTTATACCTTATGTAAATTATGTTGATCATACAATGTTCAGTCTTGTATGTATTCAGTTTTATTTGAAATTAAATATTGGTTAAAGAAGGGTTCTTTGCAGAGTCATCATTCATCTTTCAGTGTGTTCAATGGACCGACAGCTGTCCTTTTTACAATGTCAAGATAGGCTTTGAGCAGATTACAAGGAAGTTTTACCATTCAACAGTGCAACTCTACTGCCATCTGGTGTTGAAAATCTTACATTAAACAAGTAATAATGAATATATACCCACTTGCACTGTCTAAAACATATTTCACACATAAATATTACAGTATTTGAGTAGCAGTAATGGATTCATATTCCAGTCTCAACAGACTTGGATTTTGCCATCTATTTTTTTGTAGAGGATTAAATACAAATATACATAATTTTAAGTAACAGAATCAGACTACCTTATTTATTATAGAACCCAACTGATCTATTTGGCACTCCACAATATCTCCTTTCTGAAACAACAAAATCACAATATAGAATATTAGTAAATTTCTGCTACACAACTGATAGCACAGAATTAGCTTTTATATATAAAGTCAAAAATGGCACACCTTGAGGAAGACTGGTGGTGACCTGAAAACGCCTACTCCTGGAGGTGTACCAGTCAGGAAAACATCTCCAGGAGACAAAGTCATAAACCTGGTATACATGGAAATGTATAACATCAGCATATAATGTTAACAATCTGTACTTTATAGCAGAAATTTCTGAAGTTTAGTTGGAGAAACTTTCTGCATAGGGTTTGTATGCTTGTTAGCTTCAGTTATTTTGTTACGGGGGCAAAAGGTGTTTGCTGTGGAGAATAAATTTTAGCTGAGGAATGTAATTTTGTCTCAGACAGTACCAGTGACGAATGAGACCTGCATACGATTGGGGCGCTCCTGCCTTATGTAAATGTTTTTCTCATAAGATTTGATTTGCATATTTGTATAGTTAGGAAATAGGAGATGCATTAAAAAGCAAACAGCATCAAGACAGAATTGAAAAGTTAATGTAATGATGTTTTTTTTTTCATGCTGGACAATACCCTTATAGCGTTTACCCAGTTGTGGCACTGTGTGTCACTATAATTACTATATCGACTTATCGTTCAATATTTGAAAGCTGGAACAGGATGGTTTTATCATTTATTATATTTATCATGTATACTTTTTCTTTGAATTTCTGAAACATTTTGGTGACTAAATGATAAGATTTGAGGTGTAGAAGTTTGAATTAATGACCTCTAATACTCATTACAGATGCAAACTAAGTACTAAAGAGTAATGAAGATATTAACAATAATGTATATTTAGGATAGATTTTTTGGTTTAAATCTGCTTTAGGGTTATTTTGTCAGCATGTCTTCAGCAATGTGTAGTGCTAAGTCCATGTGAGTTATGCACTGTGGTCAGCAGCTTGCTACACATTCACTAATACTATCTACCAAGTAACCTATCACATGTATGTTTTTGGGCAGTGGCTCTCAAACTGAACACAAAGCTTCCTAAGTACTAGGTCTAGTTCAACACCAAAAGCTGGGCTAAAACTGGTCTAAATAAAAAGGACTAAATAGTGCCTATACCAGATCTAAACCTGCAAAAGACCAATTTGTAATGTATTACCAAGGAATACATGAAATACACTACTAGTCAAAACTTTGGACACCCCCTCTCATCAATTTTTTTCTTTGTGATTCCTACTTTCTACTTCTAGTTGATAAAAAAAAATACATAAGATACAGAAAAATTTATGTAAAAAAAAAAAATTATCACAGTGCAATAGGACTGTCAAAAAATCAGTGCCCAAATACTAACTGATGAAAACTAAATACTAACAAGTACTGAAGAAAATGACATCAAAGGGATATACTGTATCTTGAATAGTGTCTTGATCTATATCAGAACTAATAAAAACATGGAAATACTAGGGAAATTTCTATTATTTCACTGAAAATAACATTCTTTTGTCTTCATTGTTGTATCATTGTGGTATTTAAATTGGCTCTTTTCTTGGCATCAAAGTCAAGGTGGAAATTTTAGTATTCTGACAACACTAGGCCAGACAAAATCCACAGTAATGCAATACTCCTCTTAGAGAGCTCTAGCCAAAGTAAATGACCACATCCACCTTCTATCTTGGTGGAAGGAAAAGGGCCAATCACTCTCTGACAGTTGTCCAATTGTAAGTGAGACGGTAAGAATGTATTGTATTGTATTAGCAGTGTACTTAAATGACCCTTACCTTGAGACCCAGGCAACCAGTTTTTGTAAACCAAAGATCATCTGGTCTGTGCTGCTGTCCTGGACTATGTCTCCATTAACCAGACAACGTACACCCAATTTATGTGGATCTGGAAGTGGAATATAGAGATATAAAAAACTCACTTACCAACTCTGAACTTAAGATCACACTCTTCACATAACCGCTGCTTGTTAACTCTGAGCTATTGACGTATAAAATCACACATAACTGCACAAGTTGCCTGGGTGTGTTAATTCACCCTCTGTCCTGTCATCTTCCTTTGGCTCGCACCTGTAACAGCATCAGTTGTTACTAAGGCAGGACCAAGTGGACAGAAGGAATCAAAGGTTTTTCCCAGAAGCCACTGCTTTCCATTTCGCTTCATTTGCCAATCGCGGGCGCTGACGTCATTGGCCACGGTGAACCCAGCCACATATGAAAGTGCATCCTCCTCCTGTACAATAATAACACAGGTGAAGTGTCCTGAAATAACAGTCAAGTGAAAATATCCAATGAAATGACCACAGCTCACCTTAATGTGTTTTCCTTTTCGTCCAATGACAAAGGCCAGCTCCACCTCCCAGTCCACTTCCTGAAATTGCACAGATAATTGATTCGCCACATTTTCAACTATCATATTTGATAGATTAATTGCTTTGTTTAGAATAATCCACAGTATGGCATTAAATATATATCTTGTATCTATTCAACTGATAGGTGTTTAATTCCCAAGAAACAAAAATGGACCCCCAATGGAACATGGTCTGGCAGCATCACCTGCTTGTTTCCATGGACAAAGATATGTTTAATATTGTCATACTGTGGAACATTCTAGGTAAAGCAATAACACCAAGTGTTTTTAAGTTGGTTCACCTGGCTCTCTGAAGGCAGAAGGATCTCATCATAAGGCCCAGTGATGGCGCTGGGGAACTTGCTGAAAATAATGGGTTCTTTTGGGATGGGGACGTTTTGCTCCAGACAGTGGTCACGATAATTCATGCCCACACACACGACCTTCTCTGGAGCCAGGATAGGAGACAGCAGCTTAATGCTTGACCGTTTTACCACACACTGACCAGAATTCAGAGCTCTGAAAAGACAGGAAATAATATGGTTCAAATGCTCACTGAGAATGCCTTGTCCCAGTTGTGTTTAATCAATTTCTTGTTGTAAATTCCAACCTGTGAGGATTGGCTCTCTTCTCACAGTAGAAGCAAGGAAATAAATATTGGATAATAAATTATGTTGCTTACTAATTGACCATTGACTTTTGTTAGAGGGTAGGCTACTGTATATGTCATGTAGCTAAGATCACCATCTTCAGGCTGAATTGTTCTGGTACAAGAGGATCTGTGATCTAGTAGTTGTAGAAATAGGTACTAGTGAAAGTAACTGCACTAAAAGAACATTGTAATAGACAGCTGTATCATGTCTAATATTTCTAAAAATTAACTAAAATACTAAATTTACATCTTGTTTTACCCTCTGTATATTATCATAATCATATAGCTCAGTTGGTAGAGTGTTTGTCCACTGATCCAAAGGTAGTTAGAATCCATCTCCCACCGATGAATGCGGTCATTGTGTCCTTGGGCAAGACACTTAACTCACCTCCCCTTAGTGTCTGCGTACACAGGTGGATGAATGTGTGTTCACCATATAAGTAATAAGTAAATACATTGCTCAAATCTTGCTACTTTAATATAGTATCAGTGATATTTTTTCTTTTATTTGGAAAAGGATTGTATAGAATTACAGCCATAGTTTTTGTTGGGAAAAGATTTCTACTTACCCTTCACTACTTATTTCACTTCGGATTTGTGTAAAAACAATCTGCATATTAAGGGTCTTTTAGTGCCGGTTACCTCTGAGCCCCCTCCAGGCCTTTGTCTCCAAGCTCCAGTAGCACCTTCATGGTGGAAGGTGCAGAGGGGTCAAAAGCCTTCAAATCCACCACATCCAGACCTGCGCCCTGCTCCACTCCCACTCGAATGTTCTTTTCTAAATCTTCATTGTAATGAAACTGTACCAGGCGCATTGCTACACCACTTAATGTCCTGCACTGTTCTGATCTGCGTGTAATACAAAATAAACTTCGAACTGTAGGAAAGGAACTCAGAAGAAGTCTCATCTGAAAATTTAAAAAAAAAATGCAATTGATCAGAGACTTTCTCTTTTTTTTATGCACATAATAACACAATAGTGAATGGTTTGACCTCTCTGTATATTTATATAGATCAGGCTATGTCCCATGATTGCAGTTTGACAATACCTAAAAACATAACTTTTCCACACTAATGTTGAGTGCCATATAATATAATGCTATCAGGTCAGACTGTTCTCTTGTCCAAACTGCAAGCTAATCTATGTATTCCAAGTGAAGCTAAAACGGGTATTTTGCAGTGCCTACCAGTTTGACTGCAGTTCCAAACAGGCGAGTAAAGAGCAAATAACTTAATGTTTTTTTACAACACGGCTGCGGTTTTACGTGGTTTTGCACTTTGGACAGTCTGTAAACGTACCTCTGCTGTTTACATAGGTACCAATATGCTGCTCTGGTTCTGTTTAGCTCAAGAGGCAGTCACGTTACTGTACTACTTCCGGGTCTCTTTTGCAATGTTTATTTACAACCGAGTAACTGAAATAATAATATCGCTAAAGACAAAAACATTTACAAATGTTTTTATACAAGATATACAAAAATGTACAGAGAATATGAACGTGACCAAACTCGATTAAAGCAACAAATGACAATGGAGTTATAAATTCCGTGTCGGGAAGTGCACACGAATGGTGTGAAACCATATGATCCACGGTCACGTGACGAGCGGGGCGCATACAAGGGAAGTGGCGCTGCAGCCGGTGTCTGCGGCCATTTGTTCTGAAGAAGCAGCGAGCGCTCCTCTACAATGTGCACCAGGTGAGCTGTGAATCATCATACAGGCTATGCTTTTCATCCTGCAGCATATGATGTGCATATGTTTCTGTAGTCCCGCAATATTCTTTTTTTTTTTTTTTTTTCGTTTATTTAAAACCTGCGGTGTATGCTACTTTCCGGTCTGTGGCAGATTTTTTAATTATAAATATTGATTCATGTTATGTTTTTTGGATGATTAATCAGTTAAAAATACAATTTAATACGGTTACAGTTACAGCTTGAATTATTTGTATAGTTGGTAGGTCAAATATCCTTTTTGTATTACAATTTGGTTTTATTTTCAGTAGGACTTGGCAGTAGTAAGAATGTAATTAAACCACTCCAGTTCCTGTCATATCCTGCCAAACCTGCAACAAAGACAGGCTTGATCACACATAGTTGCATAACACTTGCATATAGTTGCACAATACTGACATTAAATGAGAAGTAGTTACTCCCAAATAGCTCTGGAACAAAGTCTTCTCATTGCCTCAGAAAACAATCTCATCAGCAGCTGAATGAGACTCCACTCTTTGACCTCTTATAATCAGAGTTGCCAGATTGCTGACATAGATGGTAATGGCAGGAACTGTATGTTTTCCCTTTGTCTAGCGTACAGCCCATTGAATGGACCACAGACCTTAAGAACCAGAAGTAAGTAGTATTGAGAAATAAATCAATTTCCTGTCTGGTATGTATTAACACTGGTTTGTTGATCCTCTGTTTTAGTTATGATGGAATTTTGTTGGTGACTCAAAGCTATGAGACCTTGTCCCCTCAATTGGAGTGTCTCAAAGCTCCACTGCAGGATTACAGCTCTGTAAGTCTATAAAGAACATATAAAATTATGATAAAATATGATTATTTATCTCTTGTATGGGGAAAAAAGCCTTCATCTAAACTGGTTACAATATATAAACCTAAGATATATTTAGTCTGTATAATCTGCACTAGAACCCCACTGCCAAAAAAAAAATCTGTTTTTAAAAAAAAAAGATCTTCTGTCCCATGTGTGTTAGACAACCTGTATGCAGAAATTAACTGATGTCTTATAATTTTGTTATTGTATTTTACTAAGGCTACTACTAGGCCTACTACTTTTTTATGTTGTCCTTGTGTTGTTTTCATGTGGCTCTGAGCCAAATTTGAAAAATGTCCTTGGTATACAATAAACATAATGATATTCTATTCTGTGGTCACCTAAATGCCTTTCCCTGTAGGTGGACAGTGGATTGGGTGATGAGGTTGTGGTCCTGAAAGTGCCGGGCCTTCCTGGAAATAGACTTCTGTTTGCGTCCACTGGCCCAGTGAACCGAGACTATGACGACGTCCGCCGCTTTAGTGATGCGGCAGTCAATGGCATTAAGCGGTCTGTAAATTGTACCTGTTATCTAATACTGCCGCAAGTCCCAACAGTCTTTTCTGTTTTTGTTTTTTTTACACGCATCTGATGTATTTTAGGTCTCTTAAGACTGGTATGCAGCGCCCCCTGTTGGTGTGCCCTGAACATCCAGAGTATAAGAAGAGCACATTGGTGGCTGCTCTGGGGGCCCTTCATGCACTCTACATGGTCAGATATGAACATGTAGAGATATATATGTTTTTTATGCTGTACATTTTGCAACTATAACATTAACTATAATTATAACTTTTTTTTCTTTAGCCATTGGAGGTGAGAGAGAGCAATACCAAGCCCAGTGACTATAAGGCATGTGTTCTGGGCTTGTGGGTGCCCGATGACTCTGAGGGCAAGAAGTTGGTGCAACTCGCTGAAGCTATGGAGAGCGGCAGGTTGGCTGTGTTATTTTAAATGTCCTATCCTATATTACACAAAATGTACTATTATGAGCTTTAAAACATGTTATAATGCTGTTTCCTCCTCAAAAACATACCTAGAGTTGTGTTGTGTTTTGTTTCATTAACACATGTTTGAGTAATCCTTTATTATTATTCTGTGTACAGCTCTAAAGCTACCTTTTCCCTTTTGTTCAGTAGAGATTGACATTTCCAGGGCTGAAATTATCCAAATGAAGGAGTATGGTGTTTAAAAACACCATGATGTCATGTGATGTGACACACTGTTCCACCTTGTGGAGTGGAGTGTTTGAGGGGATAATGGCTAAATATGCAGGGTTTGTGCGTTAAACAATGTGTGAATGAAACTAAACAAAAGACCAGATATGTTTGTGATGAATAAATGACATTATAACATACATCAGAAAATAGCATAATATGGGTACTTTTAAAGAATTTTTATTGTTTGAATTGGATTGACCGATTTTTCATTTTAGAGTGGCATATCGTGACATTGGCGGCTCTGACCCAGAACGCATGGCTGCTCCTCGTGTGGCTCAATATGTCCAGGAGTTGTTCAAGGACAGCCCTGTACAGGTACTTCAGTGTTTGAATGTGCCGTGTGTTAACAGTCTTTATACAACTTCTCAGTGTTCATGGACTTTTTTTTAGGTGGAGGTGGTGAGTGATGTGAACATTCTGGAGAAAGAGTATCCGTGCCTTGCTGCAGTTAATCGATGTGCAAACTGTAAGGCACTATTTAATTACGTTATATTATTATTATTATTTAATATACTTCATTGTGTTTTTATATGTATGTGTAAATCTGAGCGACTGTCTCTTCCGTAGGCGTCCCTCGTCACCAGGGAAGAGTAATTAAATTGCAGTACTGTGGAGAAGGCCCAGTTACAACCACTTTGATGCTGGTTGGAAAAGTATGAGATTTAATTTCAAGTAAATGTTTTGTTTATTTCATAACCTTTGTGCCCTAGATGAAAGAAATATTTTATTTTAGGGTATCACATATGACACTGGTGGAGCTGACATCAAGGCTGGAGGATTCATGGCTGGAATGCACAGACAAGTGTGGAGCCGCTGCCGTCGCAGGATTCTTTCAGGTAATCTTTTTTTTGTGTGTGTCATTTTAAATGACACAAAATTATTATTTACTATAATAATAATAATAATTATAAAAGTAAATAAGCCAATAAATATTAAAATGCAATATAAAGCTAGATTTAAAATGTCTCTCGTTGCACAGATCTTGGCCAAACTGAAGCCGAAACATCTGAAGGTTATTGGTTCCATGGCGATGGTCAGAAACAGCGTGGGCTCAGGTTGATGAACATCACTTTAGTCATTTTGAGGAGTCAGTTCCCCTTTTGTGGACTTTGATTTTGAGTGTGTTTTTTAGATTGTTATGTGGCTGATGAGCTGCTGGTGTCTCGAGCTGGCCGCAGAGTGAGAGTGGGCAACACTGATGCTGAAGGACGCATGGTGATGGTGGATCTGCTCTGTGAGATGAAAGAAAAGGTTTGTGTATTTACTTAATGAAATTTATAGATAACTGAAAAACATTAGTCATTAATAATTAATTTTCTGCTCATCTTCAGGCCTTGCGTGAGGTCTCCCCTCAGCTGTTTACTATTGCTACTCTGACTGGACATGCCATTAGAGCCATGGGCCCTAACTACTCTGTGAGTATACCTCCTGCAGCACAAGACCAAGAGTGTAACCTACTAATTTACTTTTGGAGGTTTTACTTTTTTTTTTTTTGTTTTTTTTCTTTCTCTTCAGATTATTATGGATAACGGTCCAGCTCATCGCTCTGGAAATGCTGCTCAGTGGCAGAAAGGTTAGCCTACATTTTCAGAGGTCCTGTATTACACAAAACAGACTCCTGTGAGCCTTTGGCCATGTTCAAATGTTGTTGCCTCATCAAAAACATACCTGGAGTTCCAACTTATGATGTCATGAAGGTGTAATTTTTAAGTTTAAAAGCTACATTATACCTTTTGTTCAGTAGAGATTGGCAATTCCGAGGACTGGTAACATCCAAATGAGTTTAAAACACAGTGGGTCACTTCCTGTATTACCACATGACATCATAGAGTGTTTTGTGTTTGAGAGAAAAACTCCTAAATATACATTGTTTGTGTGTTAAACATGTGTGAGTGAAACAAAACACAACTGCAGGTTTGTGATGTGGAAATAATATGGACTTATTGGGTCTTTTATACAAAACAAATGTAAAGTGTTTAAAAGACACATTCAACAAAACCTAGATCACCAATCTATATTAAAAGGACAACTTATGAAATTATTAAGTATTATATCTATTTAATTAAAATTATTATTTTTTTATTTAGCTGGGGAGGTGCTCGGCGATGAGTTTGAGGTGTCCCGTATCAGACGAGAGGACTATGAGTTCCATAAGGGAAAGTCTGAGTACGAGGATATTCTACAGTGCAACAACCTGCCTTCATCAGCCACTCCTCGCGGACACCAGACGCCTGCAGCCTTCCTCATTATGGCCTCTGGGCTTGATAAGGTACATAGTTGCACACTTTGGCTCAATCCCATTTCTGTTCAAGTCTCAATTTTCTGAGTCGTAAGCTCCACCCACTGTGGAGATGGGATAAGCCCTTTGTTTTCATTTAACTGTTGCATATGCTACTTGTATTAATATTTTTGTTTTTGTTTGACTGCAGCATGGAGTGGATTCTGATGCACCTCTCCCATTCTCACACATTGATATTGCTGGGTCCAGTGGTCCTTTTCCCGGTGTGCCAACAGGTGCCCCAATCCTTGCAATGGCTACCAACTATATCCTGGGAGGCCAATTTTAAACGTTTCCGTAAGGGCCCTAATAAAGTCCGTCCACAATTAAAATGATAAAAAGGAAACTCCAAACAGCTACACAATACAGTGTACACCCTGCAATACCTCAGCTTGCTCACTCATAAAACCAACTAAATCTCTTTGAAGTGACCTAAAGTGTTTAGTACTCAGGGGTTCAATGACCATGTCAAATATCAACTTTGTATGTGTTTATAATGTGCTAAATAAATGTGGACATGACCATTCATACAATGGCTGCTGTACAATTATTTTTGTGAAATCCACAATTTCACTGTGATATCATGTATACACCCCATGTTTAATGAAGATGACCTTGAGACTGCCAGTGCTACTCTGCTAAGTAAATGAATCAAAGCTTACTTATACTTATGACTCTTTAGGACCAATAAATTGTCTATTTATCTATTATAGTGCATTGACATTTTACATTATATACTTTGCAAAATACAAATGTAAAAGCCATGTCTTCGTTTTGGAAAGATTATAATATAGTATAATATAATATTATTAGTTCATATTCTGTGGTTAGGATATAGAACTATTCACTGATTTTATAATGGATCCATGGTTGACTTGACTGGTATGTAAAAACACCTCTTTATAAATAAAGGAGTTTTTTTAACCGGAAGACCCGGAAGTGACGCAACAGGGCAGCAGAATCAATAAAACCAGACGTGAGCGCGCGCTTTCTGCTCAAACCTTTTTGTGTAGGGTCAGAAACCAGCTGCAACTCTTCTCATCTCCACCACTTGCACACAAAGCCTGTCTCTTTGTGATCATCTCTAATCTTCATCGAAAATTTTAGCCACCGGGACGGGAGCTAATAACATAACTTACAGAACCTACGCAGCCGCGAAATTACACAACAACAACCATGTTTGAGGCACGCTTGGTCCAGGGCTCTATCCTGAAGAAGGTGCTTGAGGCTCTTAAGGATCTCATCACAGAGGCCTGCTGGGATGTCAGCTCGTCTGGTATCTCCCTCCAGAGCATGGACTCGTCCCACGTTTCCCTGGTCCAGCTCACCCTGCGGAGCGATGGATTCGACTCCTACCGCTGTGACCGAAACCTGGCCATGGGGGTCAATCTTAGCAGGTGGGTGTAGAGCTGAAACTTTGTACTAATACCAAGAAAACCTTTTATATTTCAGATATTGTGCTGGGAAATGATATAACAATGCCACTGTGGGTTATTTCTAATGTTGGAGCCGTAATGCAAAGTCCAATAAGTGGCCATCTTGGTGGATTTGCCCGGGCATGTCTTGGTTGCATTTTGAGCTGATAGTTGAAAACTATTAACAGTCACAATTTTTAGACTCGAATCCCAAATTGGATGTTTTGATGTTTGTGCCATGCGTTATTTTAATTCCATCAAACTGTAAAACACATGCAGCTTTTGTGTCCTCACGCCGCGACGTCATCTGAGCGCCAAACCACGCCGGATGAGAGGGGTTGGCGGGAAATGTAGTTTACCCGGGAATTTAGTTTTCCGGTTTCTTCCACTCTTTGTTTAATGGTGTGACATTTTGCCAATAAAGTACATTATAGCATTATACACCGCTCCAACAATAGTAATGTTTGTTGCTGGGATGTAGCACTCGTATTTTAACCATTTTTATTACTCCCTACACTGCGTGTATACTTTTTTTTTTGCACTAACTTGTCCATGCCATTTCTCTGCAGTATGTCAAAGATCCTGAAGTGTGCAGGAAATGAAGATATCATCACACTTAGAGCAGAGGACAATGCAGACACACTTGCCCTCGTCTTTGAGACACTCAGTAGGTTTTTATTAACAATTAAATGTGGTTTTGTTATTCTGGGCCATGCACTCACTGATCCATGTTGCCTACTCTTCAGACCAGGAGAAAGTTTCAGATTATGAGATGAAACTGATGGACCTCGACGTAGAACAGCTTGGAATCCCTGTAAGCATTTTTCTTTCAAAAAGTTTAGCTTTTTTGTCTGTGGTTCGCTGACACTTTGTTTTTAGGAGCAAGAGTACAGCTGTGTAGTGAAGATGCCATCTGGAGAGTTTGCTCGCATCTGCCGAGACTTGTCCCAGATTGGCGACGCGGTCATGATCTCCTGCGCCAAGGATGGAGTCAAGTTCTCTGCCTCTGGAGAGTTGGGCACAGGAAACGTGAAGCTTTCTCAGACCAGCAGCGTTGACAAAGAGGAGGAAGCAGTACGTAGTCACTGCTGATTTTACTAGTGATTTTACTGCAAGACATGCTTCCATCTAAATTGTACCTAATGTGTTTGTGGTTTTAGGTCACCATTGAAATGAATGAGCCTGTGCAGCTAATTTTTGCGCTCAACTACCTCAACTTCTTTACCAAGGCTACTCCACTATCAAAGACTGTCACACTCAGTATGTCAGCTGACATCCCTCTAGGTAACTGGATTGATTTTTCAGAATAGTTCTAAGTTTTTCCATTTTTAAACTTCCTGCTTTTTCATCTGAGTAACATGTCTCCCTCTTCATACGCAGTGGTTGAATACAAGATTGCTGACATGGGACATGTCAAATACTACTTGGCCCCAAAGATTGACGAAGAGGCGTCCTAAATGGTACCTAATGGACTAAAAGATGATTGTGGGAAACTCGTCTGGCGCTCTCCAAGAGGAAAGCGACTGGAGACTACATGACTGCGTAGCTGTCCACCTCCTAATGAAACATTCATAGAAATCAGTGGCTTAAAACATGTTCTGGTCCACTCAACACTGGTGTAACTTCAGTCCTGGTGTAACTTCGGCACTTGTTCTCTCCACTTTGGTCTCTCTATTGGTTGGCATTTTGATAAGCATATTTCAAGTATCCATTCCTTCCTGTAGATAACCATTTGTATATATTTTCTTGGTTTGACTCTACCCAATTTATTTTGTACCCAATGATTCAGTCAAATAAATGATTTAACTTGTTTACAATTTACCAGTGACTGTGAGCATTTGTATACATCTGTTATATCAGAGTCTTATTCATTATTGTAAATGCTGATTAACAAAGGTCCAACTATAACTAAAAGCTCTACATTTAGGCTCTAGCGCAGTCAAAAAGTGACCTCATTTAAATGGCCTCTAGGTGGCAGTGCTGATTAAGACTAGCGTATGAACACGAGTGAAGCGCGCCACAGTTTAGCCATGGGTTTAGCGCGTAGTTTTTAGCAAGTAAGCTACATTTCTCTAGCCTATTAACGGACCGAGAGATTGATATAGTTTAGGCAAGGTGCACTGTGTAACTTTTCTCACACTTGTCCCACAGTGTGGCATTAAGCTTTTCTATGTGTGGAGACAAACAGGTGGTGCAACAGGCCAAGTAAATCATATCTGTCGAGATGTGACACCGCTCAAGAATGCATGTTATTCAAAGTAATATCCCATAAAAAAAAATAAAAAAAATGTGCTATTAAACCATACTATGCCTTTTTTTTTAATTCATTTATTTATTTTTATTTTTTTTAGCAATAACATCTCCATAAAGAATTGCAAAACTTGTATTTCAATCTTAACTGGTCCTGTCTCAGAACTTTTCTTCAAAGAACAAGTTTTGACTGAATTCCCGGGATTTGTGGGTGATGGCTTCAGTAAAGGCTTTTGGCTCAGAGCAGAGTTACGTCATCGAGAGAACTTGGGCCATGATGATGATGAGGAGGAGGAGGAGGATGCTCTCTCTCAGCTCCAGGGCTCTGTGCAGGTCAGTCAGCAAAGGCAATATTGGGTGGATTATGTTGTTTATAATATTCATGTGCAATGCATGACTTGAATGTGACTAAAGTGGATGCAGCAGTGTAGCCAGACAGTTTTAATCCACATCTTTAATCTGATTGGCTCCCACATCTGGTCCTAAAGTGAACCCATCTAGTGTATACAACCCACTGTATTAAGCATATAGTCTCACTCTCACTACAGGCGCTCTTTGTCAGCCTAAATCTGATCAAAAACAAAATCAAATATCTATCAGTCTATAGTTATTATTGTTACATTAAGATTTAAACATTTAACATTTAATCTATTTATTTATTTATTTTTGAGAATAGCAATTCACCATAAGGGTGTCATGATAATGTATAGTGTTTCAGTCCTATTAAGAGATATTCAGATTCCATGGCCTCTGCTCCAAAGTCATATTTGCTTTCAGTTTTCGACAACATCCAGCCCCCAGGACAAATCTATGCCCCACAACAGACATCTGAACACCCATCAAAAGCAAATCTCCACCCCATCATTCAACTGGGACAAAACTGGCCTGTCACAAAGCAAACTTGCCACCCCTTTAGGGCTTAGTCCAACTTGGTAAAAGATGATTTTGTTCTTAGCAGCTTGCTACTGCTGGCAGTCTAGTGACAGAGCATAGACAGCACAGATTATATAATCCCTGCAGTAGATTGGCCTTCACTGTAATCCCGCACTCTTTTGAAATATCATCTCTTCAAAGGCTTCATCCATAATGAGCCCGTGCCATGCAGCAGGAAAAGAGGATTTACTTTGGCAATCACTCTAGGATAATCATATTTCATAATTTGTAATACCTAATGGGAGTTGTTTCCAGCCATTTCAGTAACCAACAGTGCAGTATGTTTTGAACAGTCTGAACAATTGTGATTTAATTTGTCCTTTTCAAATTCTGTGACCAGCCTGTCATAGCTGCAGAAATCTGTTAGGGGGAACAGAGCAGACTTATGAAATATGAAAAAAGTTGCCTATATCGTATCTCAAATATTATGTAATTTTTTATGTAATGTCATGACCTAAGATTTAGTCAAGGTTCCACATAATATCTGACAGTATATTATTATATGACTTATAATAATATGATATGATATTATATGACAATATGACTTCTGCATTATGAGATGTAAAATAATGTCATATTATGTCTCATCTCTACACATTGAAAATATGAATTTTATTTTATTACCGTAATTTGAACTAAATTGTGTTCTGATCATCTGATCATCCTTTTTTAGTCCTCATCTAGTCTGTTTTTAGTTAGTTAGGGTTTAGTACTAATTTTGATATGGTGAACGTGTCAACTCTCTCTAAATGCGTTTTTACAAAAATTAAACTAATTAAACCAACTTGTAACAAAACACAAACAGCTCATTAACTTGTGACCCTAATATGCTGAATATCCATGGTTTAGAAACTCCTGAATATTTTATGTCTCCTTTGAGTCTTTTAGTCTCTTTAAGCCTTTGGATTAACAGACTGCCTTTTGTTCTTCTGGTGAAGCACTCGATACTTGTGCTATAAACCAATATTGGAACCTTTGACAAACAAGTAAGACAAAATCATTATGTTTCAAATTTGGATCTTTTTAAGCATGATTTTACACTCACAGATGCAAAATTATTTATTCTCGCTCTGAAATGGTTAAAATGCAAAATGTTGGGGTTTTTTTGGGGTCCAAAAATCTCCAGAACTATAACAGAAAGTTATATATATTTATTTTTGTTGACAGTTGTCAACATTAGTGGAGAGCATTGAAGGTTTTTGTAATGCAGTTGCTTTCATTTAATCTGTGTAATCTATGATAATAACCTCTTATATATGCGAAAGTCTTTATGATCATGTAGCTCCATTCACATGTTTGTGCACCTTGCATTTCTGGCAGGCCAAAGACAGTGAAGATAAGGAGAGTCACTCAAGCTGCTTATTTATCCATGTTTCTCTCACCGTGTTGTGTTTACTAAGAGCAGATTCAGGGTTACACTCGCTCAGCCTTTAGACCAGTGTTTCTGCGACCAGGGGAAAGGGGATACAAGTATTTTAAATGCAGGTATACATTTTTTGTAAGGTGCACTATGTAACTATGTAATTTACAAGTTAGATGTGCAAAGTGGTGATCTCACTCACAGTAACAATACATGCATATTTGGAGAAATAAAAATGCCTGTAATGAACAAAAACTAGATAGAGATAGATAAAAGTTTAATGCCATACCATGGAACATTCTTGGAAAATTAATCACCATGGAAACAAGCATGTAACCAAGTTACATAGTATCCTTTTAAGAATGCTTTGAAGATGGTTTTGATTAAGACAAGAAAACACATTGCTCAAAAAATTTAAAGGAACACACATCAGATCTCAATGTAAAAAAATATATGTTGGATATCTATACAAATATGGAAAGGGAAATGTCTTAGGAACAAAAGGATTCCACCTCTTTTAATGCAAATAACATTTTCAGCCTACAGAAGGTTTCATTTTATAGACATCCTGAAAATCAAGGTGAAATAATGATGTGGCAGCTTAGTCCATTTTGCCAAAATTTAATTTAATATAATTTCTGCAACTCAAAATGCTTTTCAATCTCTTGTATGGCCCCCACATGCTTGTGTGCAGGTTTGACCACATTGTGGCATGATCCTAATGAAATGACGGATGGTGTCTTGTGGGATGTTTTTCCAGATCTGTGCAAGGGCATTACTGAGCTCCTGTAGAGTCTGAGGAGTAAACTAGTGGTGTCTGATGGACCCAAACATACTGTCTCAGACGTGTTCTATCGGGTTTAAATAAGGTGATTGTGAGGGTCATTCAACTGTATCAGTCCCTTCACCATCCAGGTACTGCCTGCAGACTCTTGCCACATTAGGCTTAGCATTGTCATGCACCAGGAGGAATCCAGGACCTCCTGCACCACTGTAGGGTTTGACAATGGGTTCAAGGATTTCATCCCAATACCTAATCCCATACCCAACAATCCAAAACATGCTACATAGGTCTCCAGGAAGAATAGTTGATAACCAAGGTCAGTTAAATACAATCAATCAATGAACCTGCCCAGAGAGGTGGAAATTAGCACTGATGCTACAAACTGGTACAATGCATTTCTCCTGTTGAGGTTAATGCAAAAATTGTGTGCTGTTTCTGTCTCATTAAATAAAATAAATAAATAATAATTAATAATGGCAGTCAGACTGCTGTTTTCTAGCCGGTAGAGGTCTGTGTGTCCTTCCATGGATATGCCTACCCAGTCCCTCAATGACCCACCACCAAGCACACTCATGCTGAGCCATGTTGCAGGCAGCAGAATGTTCTCCTTTTCTTCTCCAGACTCTTTCACGTCTATCACATGTGCTCAGGGTGTATCTGCTCTCATCTGTGAAAACCACAGGGCACCAGTGGCGTACTTGCCAATTTTGGTGTCATCTAGTAAATGCCAATAGAGGCCCACAGTGCTGGGCAGTGAGCACAGCGCCCACTACAGGACATGGCGCCCTCAAGCCACCCTCATGAAATCTGTTTTTGGTTGTTTGGGCAAAAACATTCACACCAGTGACCTGATTGAGGTCATTCTGTAGGGCCATCTGATGGGCTGAGGAATCTTCTACAGCCCTGTCCAGCTCTCCTGAAACTTCCTTCATTTTCTGGAGATTGTGCTGAGAGACACATTAAATGTCACTGCAATGGCATGCCACTGTGCAATCCTGGAGAAATTGGACAATCTGTGCAATTTAAGGAATGGCATCATACTCCCAGTAGTGATAATCTAGTCAAAGCCAGCACTAGTGGAAAACCAGCCAAAAAAGACCAAGAGGGAGTAACATGAAATGAACTTCTCATGCAAAACCAGTCCTGTTTTAGGGGTTGTCTCATAGGTGCCACTCTAGTGCATCTGTTGTTAATTTCCATTAAAAAAGGTGGCATCCTTTTATTTCTAAAACATTGCCCTGTCCATATGTGTATATATATCCTACATTATGTTTTTTCACATTGAGATCTGATGTGTTTTTAAAATGTTCCTTAAATTTTTTGAGCAGTATATGTCAGAATTGTCAGTGCACTTGTAAACTAATTTAATGAGTAATAGTATTTAAGGAGAGTGAGACAAAGCCCAAGGGGTACTCAGCCCATAGGAATGACTGTTTTGGACGAGGAATGGGCCGATTTTGAAATTTGGTGTCACAATTATCATGGCCAAAATAA